AAAGATATACAAAAATGATCAAATTTTAAAACTAAAATGTATGAATTTTTTCTTTGCCAAATGATAGTTGACAGCTTATGATACCGTATCTAAAAAATATGTTAAATCTGATGTTTAATTTGTGGTTAATTTGTTGACCCCCCAGCCTCTTTAATTCTTTAAAAAATCTTCCTCTCTGCTCCTGGATATTAATTAAACTAACATATAGTTATGATAAGCAAGGGAGCGTCTTCCAGAATTATAAATTTCAAGGCCCCTGAATCATGGGTACCACGTAATTTGTAAAGAATACTGTAATTGAATTAATGCTTTGAAATTTGTTCTTTGGTATAAACCAATTTTTTTTTATGAACAATGGTCCTTTTTTTCAAAATTGTGAATGTATGACCTCAGGATGAGGGTTTTTGTGGTCCATGAGCACTACTAATTATTGCTAATTATAACCTATTATTTGAAATGAAAGTTTTAAAGTTTAACAAGATGTTCAGATGACCTATAAGATCCATAGGCCTCTTGTCGTATTCCTAAGTGAACATCTAGCATCTCGTTAATATGCATTTTATCTGTAACCTCTGGTTCGCCCTTGTTTTCTTTTTAGGTGTCTGATGGTTAAGACGGGTCTAAAATCGTTGATGCTTTATCTCTGCATTCATATAAATCTTATTTTATGTCTGATTTCCTTAAAAATGTACAACAAAGGGGGCCACTGGTCTCCCTATTTATGTACAACACAAGGTGACCTCTTGTCCCCCTTGTGATGTAAAATATAGAGTGACCTAAGGTCCTCATAATGATCTACAACATAGGGTGACCTCTGACCCCCTATTGATGTATAAGGTGACCTCCGTTTCCCCTTATGATGTACAATATAATCTGACGTTTACTCTTGTTCAGTATAAGGTGACCTATGGTCCCCTTTCTGTTGTACAATATAAAGGTGACCTTTAGTCTCCATAATGATATAAAATATAAGGTGACCTTTGGTCATTTTATTGATGTACAATATTAGTTTACCTCAGGTCCACCTAGTAACGAACGTTAAAACAACCCTGATGGCTCTGTCTCCCAACTGATGTACAATATGAGATGTCCTTTCGTCCCTCCAATGAAGTACAATATAAAGTAACCCCTGGTCCCCCTACTGTTGTACAATATAAGGTGATCCCTGGTCCCCCTTCTGTTGTACAATATAAGGTGACCCCTAGTCCCCCTACTGATATACAATATAAGGTGATCTCTGGTCCCCCAACTGATGTTCCCTACTTATGTACAATATGAGGTGACCTCTGTTCCCCCCACTTATGTACATAAAAGGTGTCCTATGGTCCCACTACTGATGTACAATATAAATAGACCTCTGATCACCCTACTGGTGTACAAAATAAGGTGACCCCTGGTCCCCCTACTGATGTACAATATAAGGTGTCCTCTGGTCCCCCAACTGATGTCCCCCACTTATGTACAATATAAGATGTCCCCTGGTCCCCCCACTGATGTACAATATAAGGTTACCTCTGGTCCCCCTACTGATGTACATCATAAGGTGACCTCTGGTCCCTCCTACTATTGCTTATGTACAATATAAGGTTGCCTCTGGTCCCCCAACTGATGTGCAATATAAGGTTACTCCTGGTCCCCCTATTGATGTTCAATATAAGGTGACCTCTGGTCCCCCTACTGATGTACAATATAAGGTGTTCTCTGGTCCCCTGACTGTTGTCCCCTACTGATGTACAATATAAAGTGTCTTCTGGTCCCCCTACATATGTAGAATTAAAGGTGACCTCTGGTCCCCTACTGATGTCCAATATAAGGTGACCTCTGGTCCCCTACTGATGTACAATATAAGGTGACCTCTGGTCCCCCTACTATAGCTAATGTACAATATAAGGTTGCCTCTGGTACCCCAACTGATGTACAATATAAGGTGACTCCTGGTCCCCTACTATGTGATGTACAATATATAGGTGACATCTGGTCCCCCTAGTGATGTTTTATATAAGTGTTCTCTGACACACTGTTGTCCCCTACTGATGTACAATATAAGGTGTTCTCTTGTCCCCTTACTGTTGTCCCCTACTGATGTACAATATAAGGTGTCTTCTGGCCCCCCTACATATGTAGAATTCAAGGTGCCCTCTGGTCCCCCTACTGATGTAGAGTATAAGGTGACCTCTGGTCCCCCCCACTGATGTCCCCTTCTGATGTACAGTATAAGGTGACTTCTGGTCAACCTAATGATGTATTATATAATGTGACACACTGGTCCCCTACTGATGTACAATATTAGGTGTCCTCTGGTCCCCCGACTGATGCACAATACTTGTATAGGGTGTCCTCTGGTCCCCATACTGATGTATAATTTAAGGTGCCCCTTGTCCCCCTAATGATGTACAATATAAGGTTTTCTCTGGTCCCCCTTACTGTTGTCCCCTACTGATGTACAATATAAGGTTGTCCTCTGTATCCCCATAGGATGTAGAACAGAAGATGACACCTGGTCTTATTAACTTTTTGTTACTTCTGGTATCAGCATAAAGATTATGGGAACAAGGTGACCTATTATATTGTACAATATAAGGATTTCTCTTCACAAATTATGTATATGAATAAGACAATATAAGGTAATCTTATGTTATATATGTTAGAATTCAAGGTGAAAGTTCCTAGTGATGTAGAATAATTTAAAATCATGTTGTATGATGTACAATATATTTTTTAGAATTCAAGGTGCCCCTCTCCAAAAAACAGTATAACATGCCCTCTTTTGATGAAAATTGGAAAAAGGTGACAATTTCCTTGATGTCTTTAAATACAGTATATGTACCTTTGGAAAAACAATTGGTGCATTTTTAAATTTTTATTTCTTTGATGTACAATATTCAGGTGAATTTGATGTGTTAATTCCAAATAGGGGTGACCTCGATGCAGCCCAAAACCTACTGATGTCCCATACTGATGTAAAATAAGGTAAAACCAGAGGTTTACTGAAAAAATGTTAAAGGTGACCTCTGGCCCATTTAATCATAGCTTATGTACAATATAAGGTTGCCATTCCCCCAAATAATTTAACAAATAATTATTCCATTATGTTAATATATTTGGTGAAAAGTCCCCCAACTGATGTACAATATAAGGTGTTCTCTGGGAAAACTGTTGTCCCCTACTGATGTACAATATAAAGTGATCTGTCCCCCGAACATATGTAGAATTAAAGGTGACCTCTGAGTCCCCTACTATGTCCCAAAGTTTTTATTTTTTTTTGGTTTACTGATTTTGTGACACAAAAAGGTGACCTCTGGTCCCCCTACTATAGCTAATGTAAATATAAAATAATTTGGTCCCCCAACTGATGTACAATATAAGGTGACTCCTGGTCCCCCTATTCATGTACAATATATTAAAAATAACAAACACACACTGATGTTCAACTTTTAAAATTGGTCCCCTTACTGTTGTCCCCTACTGATGTACAATATAAGGTGTTCTCTGGTCCCCTTACTGTTGTCCCCTACTGAAGTACAATATAAGGCTCTGTTACTGTTGATGGTTTTCCTACATATGTAGAATTACAAGGTCTGAGTTTCCATAATGTACACATATATTGCAATGGGTCCCCCTACTAAATGTAGAGTATAAGGTGACTCTGGTCAGCCTGATGTCCCCTTCAGATGTACATTTTTTCTGGTCAACCTAATGATGTATTATATAATGTGACACACTGGTCCCTTTACTGATGTACAATATTGTGTGTCTGGTCCTCCTACTGATGTACAATATAAGGTGTCCTCTGGTCCCCCTACTGATGTAAATTTAAGGTGTCCTCTGGTTGATGTAAATTTAAGGTGGACTTCTTGGTGGTCCCCCTACTGATGTACAATATAAGGTTGCCTCTGTATCCCCATAGGATGTAGAACAGAAGATGACACCTGGTCTTATTAACTTTTTGTTACTTCTGGTATCAGCATAAAGATTATGGGAACAAGCGGAAGTATTATATTGTACATCAATAAGGATTTCATACTTCACAAATTATAGTATATGAATAAGACAAAGGTAATCTTATGTTATACATTGTTACGATGTGGCTGAAAGTTGTAAGTAGAGAATAATTTAAAATCATGGTATGTGTAGAATTATTTTTTAAATCCTCTCCAAAAAACAGTTGCGACACTAATTTTTTTAAAATTGGAAAAAATTCACAATTTCTCTGAGATTCTCTAAATGCTTAATTGGAATTTGGAGGATAGGTCAACTTGCTTGTCTTTAAATACAGTATATGTATCCCAAAAAGAAAAACAATTGGTGCATTTTTAAATTTTTATTTCTTTTTTTTAATATATTTCATGAATTTGATGTGTTAATTCCAGGGAAAGGGGATAACTTCACAATTTGCAGCCCAAAACTTCTGAAATACAGGGGGTACATTAATTATTTGTAAAATAAATAAAATCAGAGGTTTACTAAAAAATGTTAAAGTGATGAGGTCGCCCATTCAATCATGACCTCATAAGGAAGAAGAAGGAGACATTAAATAATTTAACAAATGATTATTCCATCATGTTAAAGGATCGGTGAAAAGTCCGAGCGAAATTAAGAGGTAGGGGTGGTAAGGGAAAACATCTTCCTCCAGACACCCTACTTTTTAGTAGATCTGCGAAAATTCAGAGACTTGACGTCGTTTACTCTGAGTCGCATACTATTAGTAAGGATATCAGAGGTTAGGCACTGTGTTATATAGATACTTAGTAACCTTACATGGAATAAAATCATAGGGGAGACCACAGGTCACCTAACGTAATCCATAAATGTTAAACGCTTTTATCATATATCGTATAAAATTGCAGTTAATGTTGCTCAGCACCCACCCTCCACCCCCTCTATCTTTTTTAATACCCATCAGATGGTTATTCCTTTTAAAAAGTTGTTTGTTTTACACTGTAAAGGCTTCACAGTATTACGATTTATTCTATTTTCACTTTACGTATGCAACGCACTACATTTTGTAGCGGAGTAAACAGGCCCGATAGTCGTGAACTGAGCAGGGGACCTAAGGTTCCTAGTTTTAAATTAACCCCCCTTCTTCTGAAATTGACTAGCCCATCTGTTTTTCCGGTGACATTTAAATTCAGTTTTTGCCACCAGGTAGAACTTGTAATAGTCATCCCGCATCCATTTTTCTTGAAGGTAATCGATCCTTGTCCTGTGAAATTAACGCATGGATTCGAACTTACAGAAGATTGATATGATGGAGTTTGCAAGTAAACATCAACACCACATAGTATTCTCCTATCAACGTCAAAACAACCAACGGGAACTGTAACTGTGAATTCGATGGCAATTGTTTCTCCTTCTACGACTTCATAAGCATACTTTGAAGGCTATTGGAAAATAAAATATTATGCATGATATTAAAAAGTCTGAAGTCTAATTGTAAAACAAATTAAAATAATCCAGTATGGAATAGCAAGCAATTCAGAAAATTCAGCGAATTTAAAATATGTATTGTAGTTTCTATGTGTGTTTATCTACGCTGTTGGGATGTCTACCCTTTCTGAAGACCTAACTCTTATCATATACTTTATTGCATGATTTATTTATGAAGTTTTACGTTTCTTTGCAGCTGTAAATTTATCTTACGTCTCGGTCTTTATTCTAACAAAGCAGAATCTCAGAAATTCGAAGGTGTTAAGAAATTAAGAGTGTAATAAAGAATGTAAACTTTATTGAAAATACGACCAACTTGAGGCCAAAACAAGTAGCAAAACCCAGTTCTCTGATTTAACTGGTTTATTAATATTAATTCAGATTTCCTTATACAATCATGCATATGATATAGATTTATAATTCTAGACCTTGTGTATCCTGGGAATTTAGATCTCTGATCAAAAAATTATTATTATTATTATGTCGCCCCGAACGAAGTCGGGGGCGACATATAGCGATTGTACGCATGTTTTTGTTCTCCATGCTGTTTCTCTAAGATGACTGGGACAATCTGTCTGAAACTTTCCTCAAATGACGATCACTGGTTGTAGTTGTGTTGTGTGGTCATTCAGTTTCAAAATGGCTACCGTAACCGTAGAAACCTGCAAAAAGCGTCGAATTTCGTCCGCGAGTGTTCTCTCTGGTCCCTTGGACATTCGTCATCACATTTTATTGTTGTAATGATTAGTATTTGTAATTGTGCTCATTGCATTTAAAAATAACAAATTGTCAATAGTTGTCATGGAAACAGGGAAAAAGTGAAAATTCTTTAACTTTGATTTTTAAATCAAAGTACTGAAAGGACTGATACGAGTTGATGGTTGTTCAAGCTTAGCTAATGGGTATTGTATAGTGACGAAAAAAAATGAATGGACATTCGTCATGACATTTTATTGTTGTAATGATTAGTATCTGTAATTGTGCTCATTGCATTTAAAAATAACAAATTGTCAATAGTTGTCATGGAAACAGGGGAAAAGTGAAAATTCTTTTACTTTGATTTTTAAATCAAAGTACTGAAAGGATTGATACGAGCTGATGGTTGTTTAAGCTTAGCTAATGGGTATTGTTTTAGTGACGAAAAAAAATGAAAGTCTTGTCCAGTTCGGGGCGACATAAGCTATTGCTTGCAATAGCAGACTTTCTAGTTATTATTATTATTATTACATTTTTAGTGAACATCATTCTTCATAATCGTTGATTTTTTTTTTGGTATACTTTTGATCCAATCTTCCATATTTTCACAGCGATTCTGCGATTCACAACTTGGTTCCTATAATATTACTTAATTAGAAGAAATTAAACCAAAAAGTTTAAAGCTCATTTCCTCAAAATTAGGGAAATTGGAAAATTTTCAAATTAAAACAAAAACTGTGTAATGAAAGTGAAAAAAGAAGAATAAAACCTGTGTGACTCAGATGAACTGTAAACTTAATCAAATGACATAATAAAACTAAGAAAAAATTCTCTATTTATCAAAATAAAAAAAAATACTAAAAATGGTCACATAAATTGAATGGTATTGAGGTTTATGATCGAATTGATTAGGGAATTTCTTTTTGTTAATAATGTACCAGGGCTGTCCGAAAGTTATTGAGACATTGTGTATATTTAGCTTTCTAATGAACGTATTTCGGTGAAAAATTTGCATATTTGTTTGACATACACATATTTTACAAATATTAAATATTTTCTACACAATGGTACAAAAATGTGTCAATAGAAGGGGAACCCGGAGCAGTCACGAAATCAGATATTGAAAATATGTAGCACCAACGTTCCAACTCTACTTGGACCCATAATAAAAGCGAAAATAATTCAGTTTATTTGTGTAATGTTTCAGCTTTATTTCAAATTCATGTTGTGCAACTTTGTTAAAATTTTGAAGAAAAAAATACCGTGATAATAAGAAAGTTAAGCGCGGCAAAGAAATCTGCTAACAACGACAAAATGGATTTTAACGTCAAGGGCGGAGCAGCCATCATATCTAAAATTTTGTGTAGTGCAATGTAGAACTCTTTTCCAGACTGAACGACCTGCTAAACAATATAACAACGAAAAAAAAATTGTGTTATGGTTTGTTATTTCATTGTTATACATTTTTTTTTTACAATTAATTCAACAACAGTAAAGTTAAAAGCTTTTGACGACAACCAGTTATTACGTACGGTGTTAATATCGTTGACACGCGTTGCATAAATCGGCAATGCATGATTATAAGTCATCCTTTGCCACAAATAAAAAGTTTACACTGGGGTAGCAACAGCATATATTTTTAAAGAATACTACTAGTTTAAGAAAAAAAGACTTTGATTATTGTAATGTTGTATGTAATAACAAAGAAGGAAGAATATTTAACGCTTCCCGATCGTTTAACATGCGAAACTATCTCCTGTTGACGTGACGTTAGATGACGGAGCGATGCTGCTCCGGGTCGATAGACATGTGCATGTTTATTGTTTCACCGAAACTTATCTAATTATAATAGGAATTAGAAATTTTGCATAAGTGTTTTATTCGTTCTTTATAAAATGTTGATGAATTTTCATGAAATTATCCCTGTCCTTTAAGGAGTAAATGTAATTGTCTCAATAATTTCCGAACAGCCCTTGTATATAAATACATTTAATGTATATCGTTTTTGTTTCTGTAAGCTTGAAATTAAAGACGTATATGATAAACTCTGACAAAAATGTTAAAGCTAAATAATATTTTACTGATTTTAACTACAGCTTAAATATAACTTATCATATAATTTACTATGAAACCTTACTTCTGAACGGTTTTTTTTTTTTTTTGAGATTTTAAAACCTAAAATTTCAAAGTAGGTCAACATTAGGAAACATTAGGAAAGGGAAATCCTAATTTGATGTACAAGCAATTTTTCATTTCTTTTATGATAAATGTACATGTATGAATTGGAAAATTCAAATGCATGTAACAATCTGAAATCTATAGTAAAGAATGGATTTGCTAGGGAAATCTGTGATTTTTTATAGTGAAACCATATACACTGAACCAAACTTCTAAGTGTTCACCTATGGAATGCCATATACGACAGCCAACTGCTTACTGCCAACTGTCAGCTGCTTACTGCCAACTGCCACACATATTTGAATAAATTTTCAAAGGTTCAAAATTAACGGGAAATTGAAATTTATTTTTAAAATAACACCCCTGTGAATCAACAACAAATCCTTTTTTTCAGTCTTTATCCTTTCCAAAGATTGTGTTGTCTTATGTAGGGGGGATTAAAAACAGGAAAATAGTCATTTTATAAAATAACAAATAAAAAATAATATACTTTATCAATCTCATATGTTGAATTTTACATTAATAAAAACATACGATGAGATTAAGGAGTCATTTATTTATTTTCACTAGTATTTGAAGATCTGATGATATCTTCAGTCTGATTTCAATTGATAAAATCTACCCCTTATTGAAGGAGTTAAACATAAGAGCAATTAACTTTTTGTCGATGGTTTTTAGAATAAGTACTTAAAACTGACCTTGGAACCCCCCCCCCCCCCCCCCCCCCCCGAAAACGCGGATCTGTATTAAGTTATTTTGTATGAGATGTCGTAGATATGAAGATATGGAGCATAACCCACCCACACCGCAAAAATAATTTTTCACGTTTACGAAAGGAATTTACGTTATTTTTCTTGTCAAAAAATTTCTGAGTTCGATTTATTTTTATTGGGGTGGATCCCTCCTGTATGGAATGCCATATACGACAGCCAACTGCTTACTGCCAACTGCTGACTGCTTACTGCCAACTGTCAGCTGCTTACTGCCAACTGCCACACAGATTTGAATAAATTTTATTTTTATATTGATATTTATGTAAATTTAAAAAAAGGCCCGGATCTATAGCACATTTTTTCCAAGAGGGTCACTCTGGTAAAATAAAAAGATCCAATCCAGAAATTTCTTGACAAGAAAAAATACGTAAAGTCCCTTCCAAAATGTGAAAATTTATTTCGGCCGTGGAGAGGGGGTTCTTATGCGTCATACCTTCATGTGTATGACATTTTTCATACCAACTTAACACGAATCCACATTTTCGGTTGGGGGGGGGGGGGTTCTAAGGTCCCTTTTAGTTGATTTATTTTATACATTAAATAACTTTTAGTTGGTTTAGTTTGTTCATTAAATGACTTTACAAATTTCAGAGGGGTGTTCCGGACCCCTCTCTCTAGATCTATGCATGTAAAACATATTTTATTTGTACAAACAAAGAGATATAAATGTTTGATCGGCGTTTTCTAAGTGGAGGGTCCAAGGTCAGTTATACCGGTAGTTCGTTTAGTTTATTTAACGTATGACTGTACAAATTTTAAATCCCCCCCCCCCCCCCCGATCTATGCATGTGAAACATTTAACACACAGAGGTATACATCTTTAAATTGAGGAAATTTTTTTAACTATAGAATGTAATGGGAAACGGAAATTTATTTTCAAAACATTTTTCTCTGCGAAACGTCAAATCTTTTTTATTATTATTCTCTCTTCAAAGGTTTTGTTGTCTCCTGGGGAGGGGGGGGGGGGCTTCTTTAAAGATTAAAAGCAGAAAATAGTCATTTTATTACCTATTTCAAATATGAAAACAAATAAAAAAAATAAACAATGTACTTTATCAACCGCATATATTGAATATTACATAAGATAAAACATTGGTCATTTTATTCAAATTATTCAATTTTACCGGGGTGACCCCGTTGGAAAAAATGTCCTGGATCCGTGCCTTTTTTTCCCCTTTTTTTGTGAAAATTCATATAAATATCACTACAAATATAAAATTTATTCAAATATGTGTGGCAGTTGGCAGTAAGCAGCTGACAGTTGGCAGTAAGCAGTCAGCAGTTGGCAGTAAGCAGTTGGCTGTCGTATATGGCATTCCATACTCCTGGAAAAAATCCTGGATCCATGTTTTTTTTCATTTTGATTTTTTTTTTTTTTTTTTTTTTTTGACAATTCACATAAATATCAACGAAAATATGAAAATTTATTCAAATATGTGTGGCAGTTGGCGGTAAGCATCTGACAGTTGGCACTAAGCAGTAAGCAGTTGGCTGTCGTATATGGCATTCCATAGTTCACCTAATATTTTCTAAAAAGTTTTAAAAAGCAGATGCATACAACAAATAATTTTTTAAATTCATGATTAATGATGCATATTTCTGTTCGATGTTGCGTAAATTTCATGTAAGCATCTCGTCGGAATTTAAGCAAAGGGTCAAGGTAACCTCAAAATAAAAATTCACATTAAATAATTTCTATGGAGTAAGACAAGCACTCGCTCTAATTACTGCGAGACAACCTTTACTGTTGGATACCAAGTATCCCTGAAGAGGAGATTGACCCATCTGCTGCCATAGGCTGCCACATCTACTGCATGGATCTTTATAAACCGTTAAAATGTGTGGAGAAAGAGGTGCTTTGACATTCCTTACTGTATAAAAATCACAAATGTGTTAAAATGGATTCAGATCCGGGTTTTGGCAATGCATCATCACACAGATGCCTTTTGGTCAATAACCTTGGACGATTGACACGTAAGTGCAACGCTTTAAGGATATTTCAGACTATTTCAAATGACATATAAGACTGCCACGAGCACCAATTTCTTATCATTTCTTAATATTGAATTTGATTCTTTAAATGTTTCTACAATTTTTTTTCAGAACAATGTAACAATATTTTGACCTGGTCATGAATCTTGGCCTCATTCGAAGATCCAGATCACTTCCAGTTTGATAAAGATTGTCCCAAGCTTCCAAATTGTGACAAGTTGGCAGTGAAAATGACGCAAAACCCATTGAACTATGTGTTTACATGAGTTTTTATTCTGGTTGTTAATTTTTGAAAGTAATATCAAGGACAAATAAACACTTAAATATAAAAAGCGAGTAAAATGTGGTGCAAAGATGATCAAGATATCAATATTTCAACGGCTCTCCCTCCGTTCTCAATGGTCATTTTGCCAATGTATTTTTTATTTAAACTAGTTTTTAAAAAGTGATTAATGGTAAAAAAAAAAGATGCTGATTACACAAAGCACGTGCTGCAAAGTACAAATTTATTGTTTTTAAGATTGTCACAGTTTATTAGTTTTCATCGGTGATAATCGATTTTCTTTCAATAATTATTGAGGAGACTCATTGGTTATAATAATATGAAAATTCTTCCCATTCTGTCATGTAGTTTTATATAAATACATTTATCAGAGTGAACACTTGAAAGTTTTTTACGTGTTTACTAAAGTTATATTTTATGTTATGCAACATATGCAAGGGAATAAAAAAAGAGGACATTAATGTCATTTTTTGCAATAATATCTCTAAAAATCCTGCAACTCACAAATATTCCGGCCCGGAATTCCTTACTGTGATTATAATGACCAGGAACCCCTCCATTTTCGTCTCTAACCCTCAATGAACACTTGACCTTTAACAAAATAACGAAATTTAAAAAAAAATTCAATATTACAACATGAATTATATTAAATATACGCTTGCATTATTAATAAAATAGCAGGTTGTGTTGTTTCACAATCTATCCCAATAAACGATAATTTCCTTATATTTGAATTTTTTTAGGAAGCTAAAATAAAGTAAGTGCTTTATTGCACGGGTAGATTTTGTCACCTCAGTTGAAATTAACTAGAAATTGCCATTGAAAATCAAAACTTTTGTTATCAATATTTATAGGAAACGCGAAACAAACACACATGGCTGACCTTGTAATTGAAGAATTAATCAAACAGCATCGCCCGCAGTGTGCAAAAGCAAACACATGTGTCACTTTTCTCTGGTGAGTCAGATATACTTACAAATGTACTCGTGCACTCTATTCGCCATGCGAGTACAACTTACCACCATGTTCATGCTGTGCCTGTGTACCCAGTCTTTTGGGTAGAGCCAACTCCTGTTGTCTTGATAGGGACGAGATTCTACCACCTTAACCTCTTCATTATTGATATACCAATAGGTGTCGTACCAATGAGGGTCCCCAGAGGGCTCTGAATAAAGACACTTGAACACGGCCGCTACAGGTCTTCTAGTATTATTTAGATCAATGTATTCTAGCGATACATTTACTGTTGGATTCGTGTTAACGGGATTATAGGCTGAAATAAGAAAAATTATTAAAACATTTTCTCCATATGTTTCAATAAATTTAAAAATAAAATAGCTTTGGCAAGTGTTCTAATTTATGCCATCGCAATCGAAGATTCGGTGACAAATAGATACGCCGCCTATCTGTCTGCTTATCTGTTTGTCCGCAAAAAAATTAAAACTTGCTGGTAACTTTTGATCAGATGGAGAAGAAAAGGTCTTTCCCGACCTTTCCCTTTCCCATAACTTTTGATAGAATGTTGCTAAGCCTGCCATATTTCAATTGTGTATTTCATTGGATAAGACCTTTGCTCATTTATTTTTTTTTTTTTTTGCTTTCTGACCTTCATCCAAATGAATGGTAGAACCTAGGCTTTCATTTAAAAGATATGTATTTCCTTTGGCTTGAACTCTTGCACATGACCTTGGAAATTAACCTACTTTGAAAAACTTTGAAAAATAAGTTTAGGAAATAGAAAAAATTATATTTGTACTCTAGAAGTTGTCCTATAACAAGTATTATATATGTGAAGAATGGAATCCCTAACGTGAATCATTCAAAAGTTTTAATCTTGTAAAATCTTGTTATTTGCTTGGGTCAGAAAACTAAGGTCAAGATATCAAATATATTGGTACATATACATTTAGAAACGCCATATAACAAAGAATACTTGAAAATTCTACAATTTTACAAAGATTGCGCTAAAATATAAAAATCAAATCTTCAGTCATTCAAAACTTTAAACTATGCAGAAAAATCACAGATGTTAACATATACGTACATACAGACGGAAAGAGCTTCAACTATATACAATGTAGCAATGAATGTTTTATTGCGGAGACATAGAAATTTCACTTGAAGCAAAATTTAAGAGTGTGAATGAATTACCATAAGATACTCTTTATCAAAACTTCTACAAATATTACTTACGCTCACAAGGAGTGAAGAAAGAATGAGACGTTTGACCTGCGGGACACCTGCTTTCCTCTCCTTGAAGTATACATTAACAAAACTACATTTAAAATCAGATCATTTATTATTGAAACGTTTGAAAGTGTACACACTAGTACATTCTGTAAATCAGTAATCAAATGTAATGACTTGATCGTTTCATTCAAAATAGAAATTCATACCACTGTCAAGGTAAGGTAGTACATTTTAATCAGTTGTTAACAAAGGAACTGTAGTAGTGGTCAGGTACCTATGCAATATCCTGTCGAAGCCTGAGGAGACGGCACCAAAAAGTAAACTCGGTAATGTCCACAGCTCTTCATCTTAATTGTTAAATTCTTTCCACAAGTATTTTCTAGTCCCACAATACAAGCTGTTCTTGTTACCTCCCCGTCAGTATCTGATGAGATGTTTCCTTAGAATGAATTTTGTAAGAAATTTGTTTACACTCGTTATTTCAATGTTTTCAGATGTTCTTATTTAACTTCTTGAATTATGATGCCTTGATGACATATATGCGTATTAAATTTTTCACTGCAGTATATGAAAAAAGTGAAGAAAACAAACAGTAATCGATCTCAAAACAAAATGCCCATGGTCTACAAAGCTCACAGTAGTACATGTATCTTTGCTCCTGCCGATTTGGATCAGTTTTTTTATCAACCAAAATATTTTTTCATCTTTTGTGGCCCCATCACAAAGGACCCGTGATTTGAACGGAGATGAATTCTCGTCTCCATTTCAAATTTCAACATTAACATGAATCATCATGGACTTACTTTTGTGAAGTTTCGAAGATTTTTTCCCTATACTAGTATAATTCCCATTAAACCCTCACCATACCCCTGGGGGATTAATCAAACGATATGGAGTCTAACCTTTTTTCAGAAATCCTCCACATAGTTTCAGATTTTCTGATCCCTTAGTTTTTTGGAAGAAGATTTTGAAATGTTTTTAATATAAATTTCAATGTTAAACTACGATTCACTACAGTGGACGCACTTTACCCTTAAGACACCCATTTAAAAGCTTATACAGACCAATGGGCAGAAAGTCAAGCAAACGGATGGACGCCAGACACCAGGTAATCTGAAAAGCTCACTTGAGTGCTTCAACTAAGGTGAACAGTGAAATTTTTGAGGTGGGATCATATACCTAGGAGAAATACGCATCGTCGAAGTCGAACAGAAACAAACACCATCAGCCCCATGCTTTGATCGGGTAGGCGGAAAACTATTGAAATAACGACCACTATTGAAATAATTATTTTAATAGTGGTTAAGAGTGCATTTCATTAACAAACATAGTATGCAACCGCTTTTGAAATACGACCACTATTGAAATAATTGTTTCAATAGTGGTTGAGAGAGCATTTCACTAACAAACATAGTATGCAACCTTTATTGAAATATGACCACTATTGAAGTTATTATTTCAATAGTTGTTGAGAGTTAATTTCAGTACCAAACATAGATTGCAACCACCATTAAAATAATGTTGATTTGAAATAAAGTTTTCAATAGTTTTGAGAAATATCTCTTTAGCATAGAGAAATAAATAATTTTCCGAATAAATAGCAGAAGGACTTGCCATTCTTCTCCATGTCAAGTAAAGTTAAGAATCTCACTGTTTGCTTAATATCTACAAGTGCCAAATAAAGGTTTATGTTTGAAGTCATTTGCCAGTGTAAGGTAACGTCTCATATGAGTGGAGTGGAGTCTATTATTTTACATATTTTTTCTACAACTTATGCGGCAAATTAAATTTGAATACTAGTAGCCTTGCAGAGTGCGTAATTGATGAGTTCATACATAGATATTTCATGAACAGGAAATGTTTTCAAATCAAATTTTCTCTCATTAAATGTTCAGCTTAATTTGCAGTTACGTACGTTTAATTTAATTAAGGGATGTTTTTAAGTTTTGTGTGACAAAGACATATCACAAGCATATTCCATGAAGCGCGCTAGCTTGCTGCCATATTTTGTTGCATTTTCTAACGCCACTGTAGCCTTATTGTGACGGTACGTTAGCGCACGTTTCTCTGCGCGAAAATAGTATTCAAATCAATTTCACTGTTAGCTTACTAGAAAAACACAGCAAATGTAAAGATATAAAATATGTGCGTAAAAGGCATGCTTTTAATCATTGTTCATTATTGTAATATCAGTTTATACCTTGCATCCATATAGGAAATACAGTTCCACATTGACCTATGTTGGGTGCAAATGTCACCATATCATTTCCTGCACCACCACTATCAAATCGATACCATCCTGCAGCTAGGAAGTTGTCACTAATACTTATATCTCCTGGCTGCAGCATATATCCACTTGATCTTCTGTACTGGTCACGTAGCAATGTATAAGATGAGCACGGGTCTAAAAAAAATAGCAAATACACTGCAGAATTTTAAAATGCGTTTAAATTGTTACATTGTTCTAACAGAGCGGTCGAGTGGATTCCTGAAAAATTTTACACCATTGGTAAATGAAAAAAAAATCTCTGGGTAATAAAGTCATACACTTACAAATTGATTTTTTTATATCAAAAATGGATGAAATATTTCGCTTGAAACAGTCCTAGACCTCAGAGTACTTTATCACAAGTTATCATGGTTTAAAACTACGTAAACCATCTCAGTTTTATTGTTCAAAGCCATGATTAAATTTTCTTTTTTGTTTTAAAAGTTTATTTTGTTTCATCAATTATATGTTTAGTTTTCAGAAATCCATTCCACCGCTCTGTTAGAACAATTGGACAATTTTTTAAACGCATTTTTGATTTCTACAAATTTCATACAAAACCTGCAATGTACATGTACAACAAAGTCATAATACTCTGGCTTTGACCAATTGAATTTTATAATTGCTGTAAAAACCGTCTTCTCCAAAGATCGAAGATTCAGGATTCAAATACTTAAAACTTAATGATTATTTTATCATTGAAAAAACATAAAGGATTGCTTGAGTCGAAAAAATATTATTTTTTTATCTTAATAAGGTTCATTGATTTGATATTAATTGAAACGGTTTCTCAAAGATATGTACAATTTAAGATATAGTTCAAGTAACAGAAACAACGGAATATTTGAGGACGTATAAGAAAACTGTTTTCATGACGTTGTTTTAATGCAATATGAAAGTAAAGTTCAGTTCTCAAGCTCATTCATAAGGTCATAAAACAATACAAATCAGTGCAAAAAGTACAAATAAAAATAAATTGGGTCTCAGAAGAAGTGGAATTTAGGTGCCATGGAGCAGTAAGCAGCCCTTTATGGAAAATTCCATGTACTATTAAGCCCTAACAACTTGTAATAAAAACGTCAGCCAACATTTGACTTATTGATACTGTATATGTACTTTAAATTTAAGATTGAATTCTGCATCACATAAATTAGAAAAAAGGTATTCTTAAATGCATATTGTATATTTTGGGAGCAATAAGTACACATAGGCAAAAGGAACCAAGCTTTGCAAACTGTTATTGTTTGAAATGTTTATACCGATGATTCTTGTAAATCATCGTTCATTGTTTTGAATAAAAAAAATTATCATTCAATTTTACATGTAAGATGGAAATGTACAAACTTTTTATAGAGGCATTTAAACGGATGTATCCCCGAACATTTTAGGCTGAGGAGCTTGCACATACATATACTAAGCAAATACATAAACAGTGATAATATATGTAAAAGAATGTGTATTGTTCTATTTATTTTTTATTTTAAAAAATAAAAAAATAAAAAGAACAATACACATTCTTTTACGATAAGAACAATACACATTCTTTTACATACATTATCACTATTCATGTATTTGCTTAAGATATGTATATGCAAGCTCCTCAGCCTAAAATGTTTGGGGATACATCCGTTTAATCATTGTCAAAATTAAATAGTTTTGCACATATGAGTCAATGTGCACTTTATTAAGACTGTGACAGATCGGGCTCGGGATGCTAGCTGAATTACGTCACCAGGACTTTATCGTAATGCGATACGATAGCGGCCAAGGGTAGTCCGGGTGATCATCACTATATAAAAGAGCGTTCTGCTGAAAGCTGGCAGTTGCCAGTCGGAGCTCATAGCGAAAGGCTCACTACAGCGAAGTATGGTAAAGCAGTAAGCAGTAATAGCAGTAAGGCAGACTTACGGTGACATAGCATACGGTGTCTAGTATACTGGATTCAATTAAACTTAGTATTCGAGGTTTAATAAAGTATAAATACTTTACTCGAGGCTATTATTTTTTTTAAAGATCTGTCTGTGTATAGGACAGAAACCAGCAGACCCGTACCTGTCCGAGTACAGGACACATCCCGGCTTGAGACCCATCCAGGACACAGATCTATACACATTAGTTGTTTTCGTTATGTTAAGGATAGGAAATCCTAATAATATATGTATATATTGACTCGTTTGCTTTTCATATACACTATGTCATCTTTCATATCTAATCATTTGTTTTAATTAGTGATCTATCTCGTGTTTACATAATCATTTGTTTAATTCATTTACTTGATTAAGGATCTAAACCTAAATAAACGGACCCATACACGTTACAAAAATTGGCGGCAGCGTCAGGATTTGGGTTAGATCCAATTTGTTAATTACATTTTATGATAATTGATAATTTACTGTTATTTTCACAATGTCAAGTTTACACGACATAACACTGATAGAAAGACAAATAGAAAATCTGAATAGGGAGATAGAGCAGTCTATGCGAATAATAGGTCTACAGGAAAATGCTACCAGTGTCCCAAGACGCATACAACAAACAAGGACGAGTACTCCGTTTACAAGACGGACAGATAGGTTGCTTGAAAATGCAAGTACTGAGGATGTATGCACATGTGATGAGACTGATGATAGGTCTGGAGACCGAGGACAGCATTCAGCACATGGCACAAATACTCATCCGGCGACAGATACAAATCGGAATAGATCAAGGCCAAGGAATTTTATTAAACCTGCGACTTATGATGGTTCCAGTATGTGGAATGACTATTTGTCTCATTTGGAGTCTGTTTGTCTCTTAAGGGGTTATATTTAGCTGCGTCTCTTAGAGGGCTAGCACAAAGTGTGCTGGGTAATCAGCCCAGGGATGAGAGACAGAACTATGGAAAATTAGTCAAATGCTTACAGGATCGGTTTGCCCCACTGAACCAAACAGAGCTGTATCGGACTCAGCTCAGAGAAAGGAGACAAAAACCATCAGAGAGTTTTCCAGAGATGGGCCAAGATATACGGAGGCTAGTGAACCTAGCCTATCCCACAGCACCGGATGACGTACGTGAGATCCTTGCCACAGAACAGTTTTTAGACGGACTGCATAATGCGGAAATGCGTCTTAAGATCAAACAGTCAAGACCTAGCAGTTTTAATGATGCCATACAGAGAGCTGTTGAGCTCGAGGCTTTTTATAAAGCAGAAAGTCGTCGCACCGAGGGTGTCAGAAGCATGGATCACGACAAGCATGGATCTAGTCAGGGATCAAAGATAGATAAATTCATAGAGACCATGGAGAAAAATATGCAATATCTTCAAAGGGAGATAAAAGACATGAAACAATGGAAGTTTCAAATGCAAAGGAATGGACGCGATACAAGGCAGACGAGAGATGAAATTAAGAAAACAACAGGAAATGGTATTAGTACTCGAATATGTTACAAATGCGGTTCTGACAAACACCTGAAAAGAGATTGTCCCATACTTAAAGATACAACCTCTCCCCCAGAACCTAGACAGAAAATGAGAGGCATGACTGAGAATAAGTCAGATGACCGGACCCAAGCCAGAACACAACAGACTGATGAACACTCTAGAATTGTTCATTCTATCAAGGAATCAGGGGCTTATGTGACTGCCAAAGTATGTGGGATGGATATCTATCTACTCGTTGACACAGGTGCCACTGTTTCCTTATTATCGAAAGTATGCTATGAAAACATACAAAGAGACAACCATTCCTTAAAGAAAGTAGACAGGGATGTCCTGTCAGCCAATGGATCCTGTGTAGAGATACACATGTATATGGTAAAACATCTATAGAACTCGTGCTAAATGGAACAACTCTGAAGCATGAGATGATAGTGGCGGATCTATCTGTAGATGGAATTCTTGGTTTAGATTTTCTTGTCAAGTATGAAGCTATCATAAATATGCGTACACACAAGGTTGAGATCTCAGGGATAGAACATCCAATTCAGCTGGAGGGTACAGCACGAGAGTACAAGATTGCTTTGGTCAATAGAATAGTTGTACCTCCAAGATCCGAAATAATGACGGAGGGCAAGACATGCGCAGGGCCAGATGGGGGATATCCTGTGAATATAGGGCTCGTAGAACCATCTGAAAAATTCCGAAAATCGGATTCCGCTATGATAGCCAGAACCCTGGTAAGACGCCAGGAGGCAGTGCCCCTACGAATTATGAATCTGTCATCCACAGATAAGACTCTACAGCCAGGAACTGTTGTGGGTAAATTGTCTCCAGTTAATGAGATTGTATCATTATCGTCTTCCAGCCATGATAAGAGCAGTAGCAAGGAAATGCCAGAACATTTAAAGGAATTGTTTGATAGAAGCACTATGAATCTTGGGAGTAATGAAAGAGACAAGGCCAGAAGTTTACTTACAGTATTAGGTACTCAAATTTGTTTTCTGTGACTGATGAAGATGTTGGTCGAACCTCTATGGTTAAGCACAAGATAGATACAGGTTCTCATCCAGCTATCAAACAGGCACCAAGGCGTCTACCTTTCCACATGCAGGAAGAAGTTCAAGAGCATGTCACCGATATGCTTAAAAGAGGTATTATTGAGCCGTCCAAGAGTCATCAGCGATAGTCTTGGTGAAGAAGAAAGACGGATCCAAAAGGTTCTGTGTGGATTATAGGCGCCTGAACAGTGTCACCATCAAAGACGCCTATCCCCTTCCCCGGATCGATGAGTCGCTTAATCAGCTGAAGGGAGCGAAGTGGTTCAGTACTCTAGACCTGAATGCTGGATACTGGCAGGTGGAGCTAGATCCAAGCGATAAGCATAAGACGGCGTTTGCAACTAGACAAGGGTTTTACGAGTTCAATGTGATGCTGTTCGGGCTCTGTAATGCCCCGGCTACGTTTGAACGTCTTATGGAGACTGTTTTGTCAGGACCACAATGGCAGATATGCCTCATCTATTTGGATGATGTCATTGTATATGGGAAAACTTTCAACGAGATGGTACATAATCTAGAACAGGTCTCTGAGAAGTTGCAGTCAGCTGGTTTGAAGCTAAAGGCCAGGAAATGTACTTTGTTTGCAAAACAAGTGAAATATCTGGGTCATGTCATTACGGAGAATGGGGTAGAGACAGATCCAGAGAAAGTTGAATCTGTTAGGCAATGGCCAGAGCCAGTAAATAAGACTCAAGTTCGTTCCTTCCTCGGCCTCTGTAGCTATTATCGAAAATTCATTGCAAACTTTGCTGATATAGCTCGACCGCTTCATAAACTGACAGAGGCATCAGTTGTCTTCAAATGGTCAGAGGAATGTCAAATAGCATTTGATGTCCTAAAAACCAAGTTGACCACAGCACCTATCCTTACTCATCCAGACTTCAGTTTACCCTTTATCTTGGATACCGATGCAAGTCAAAATGCGATCGGAGCAGCCCTGTCTCAGATTCAGAATGGACAGGAAAGGGTAGTCGCTTACGCCAGCAAAGTTCTAAGTAAATCGGAGAGAAGGTACTGTGTGACCAGGAAGGAGCTCCTGGCAGTAGTGATGTTTATAAAGCACTTTAGACATTTCTTGTATGGACGTTAATTTTTAGTCAGAACAGATCACAGTTCTCTTCGATGGTTGCTAAGGTTCAAGGATCCAGAAGGCCAGTTAGCTCGATGGCTAGAGGTGATATCGGCATACGATATGGAAATCGAGCATAGGGCTGGTAGAATCCATGGCAATGCAGATGGGCTAAGTAGACTCCCATGTGTCCAATGCGGATATTTTGATGATTGGGAAAAAGAAGATTTGCATGGAGAACAATCACATGCAAGGGTATAACAGGATGAGATCAAAGACAATGGGACAGATGAATCAAATGACTTGGTAAATATACAGGATGGAAGTCGGGATATAAGACTTGTTAAAAATTGGATGGAGGAGGGGCAGCGTCCAGACTACAGTGAAATTACTGCTGAGAGTTATATGGTCAAATCATTGTGGGCTCAGTGGAGTAAATTGGCATTGAAGGATAACTTGCTATGTCGTATGTGGGAGCTTGAGGAAAGCAATGACACGACATATCAGATTGTTATGCCACTCTCTCAGAGAAGGTTTATTTTACAACAGATGCATGACTCTAAAACATCTGGTCATCTAGGGGTGACCAAAACCCTGAACAAGATCAGACAAAGTTACTACTGGCCGGGACTGCAAAGCGATGTAAGAGGTTATGTTGCTAGATGCGACATATGTGCCCGGAGGAAGGCTCCACTTAAAACAAAGCGAGGACCTATGCAACCTTTGCAAGTGGGTTACCCAATGGAAAGGATAGCCACAGATATCCTCGGGGAATTTCCGATCACAGGAAAGGGGAATCGCTACATACTTGTAGTCTCGGATTATTTCAGTAAATGGACGGAGGCCTTTCCAATGCCCAACATGGAGGCTCAGACAGTTGCGAAACTGATCGTAGAGGAAGTTATCTGTAGGTTTGGAGTTCCTGTATCCATCCACTCCGACCAAGGGCGTCAAGTCTTTTGTTTAGCGAGGTATGCAAGCACTTACAGATCCGAAAGACAAGAACCACACCATACCATCCTCAGTCTGATGGTATGGTGGAACGGTTCAATAAGACGTTAGCCACCATGCTGAGTAGTTATGTCAGCGAGAATCATCGGGATTGGGATGAGAACATACCTTTTGTGATGATGGCATACCGGGCGGCACAGCATGAATCAACCGGATACACGCAAAACATGCTGATGCTTGGCAGATAAACTGCCACCCCTCTGGACATCATATATGATATGCCCGCATCCTGGAAACAAGTACCGAGTCATGAATGGGTTTGGATTCTGACTGATCGAATGGAAAGGGCTCACAATTTGGTGAGAAAACAGTTAGAAGGAGCTATCCTTCGACAGAAACATTATCATGACATGAAGATGTCTTATGAACAATTCAAAGTTGGAGCCCAATTATATGTTTATTTTCCCCAAAGGAAAACTGGGTGCTCACCTAAGCTAACTTCATATTGGAGAGGACCTTTTAAGGTTCTGGCAAAAGTCTCTGAGGTCCTATATAAGGTGAATTGTGGACGCAATGGAAAGGATCAGATAATTCATTGCGACAGGATGAAAAGGTGCAGAGATCAAGTTCTCCAAGGCGAAGATCCAGTCCTAGGACTCGAAAGTTCAGAGCTGGGGACAAGTGATTCTTCAAATGTTCAGATAGATCAAGAGGATCAGGATGATGACTTTGGGTCATCTAACAGAAACATTGAAGTCACGGATGAATTAGTTGGTGATCGCAGACCCAGACGCAAAAGACGTGCCCCAACTTACCTTCAAGATTATGTCCAGGACTAGGACATGACTATATGTTTTTCTTTAAGTCTTGAATTAAACATACAAAACTATGCGTGAATTGGCTTACAGAGTACTTATAACTCTGCTATTATTTAAGTTGTTTTGCTCTTTGCTATGAAAAAAATGTTGATACCATTTGCATTGATGTATTGTCATGTGTCTTTGTAGTGAAATCATGGTTAATACAAAGGTGACACCGAGAAAATCTGAAGAGATATGTCCGGTGTGTTTTACTGAATTGGACGGGAAAGATGCCTGGGCTGCTCACGTGTTGAAGTGTGCTGGCAGCATGTTGGTGTGCGAGAAATGTCATGTATCCTTTAAGAAGAAGGAATATTTGGTGAAGCACATGAAGTTGAAACATGCAGAAAGCGATCATGCGTCTAAAGAGCCAGAGCATGATGAAGCAGGTCCAAGTAGTCCAGTCCAGAATAACAGCGACAGCTGGAGGAACCTCCCAAAGAAAAGGATCCTGAACCCCCAACTAAAACCACTAGTTTGCTGACATGACGCATATTCAGAAAACGGACCGCACCTAGCCCATTACCTACTGCACGGAAAGTAGTCTGCAGATCTGAAGTTGATCCAGAACCTGATGCTGAGGAGATTGTGGATAGGGGGATGCAGACCGATTCCCATGCAAACATTACAGTTGATCAGGGGACCAAGACGGCAGGTTTTAGAATGCGGGTGAAAGAGGTTACAGTCACCAAGTTTCATGAAAATGGTAGGAGTGTGGAGAAAATTGTGGAAAGAGAAGAATTTTATAATATGTAAATTTTTTTATTTATGCTGTTTCCGACGAAGTTTATAAGACAGATAGTCTTTCAAGATAATCAAGATCATAACTTTCATTCTATGTATATATATCATGTTTTCTTCATTAAAACATTTATCATCATGATATATCATCATTTCATTACTTTCTTTTGTCATGCGAGGACAATGGGTGATGTGACAGATCGGGCTCGGGATGCTAGCTGAATTACGTCACCCGGACTTTATCGTAATGCGATACGATAGCGGCCAAGGGTAGTCCGGGTGATCATCACTATATAAAAGAGCGTTCTGCTGAAAGCTGGCAGTTGCCAGTCGGAGCTCATAGCGAAAGGCTCACTACAGCGAGGTACGGTAAAGCAGTAAGCAGTAATAGCAGTAAGGCAGACTTACGGTGACATAGCATACGGTGTCTAGTATACTGGATTCAATTAAACTTAGTATTCGAGGTTTTAATAAAGTATAAATACTTTACTTGAGGCTATTATTTTTTTAAAGATCTGTCTGTGTATAGGACAGAAACCAACAGACCCGTACCTGTCCGAGTACAGGACACATCCCGGCTTGAGACCCATCCAGGACACAGATCTATACACATTAGTTGTTTTTGTTATGTTAAGGATAGGAAATCCTAATAATATATGTATATATTGACTCGTTTGCTTTTCATATACGCTCTGTCATCTTTCATATCTAATCATTTGTTTTAATTAGTGATCTATCGCGTGTTTACATAATCATTTGTTTAATTCATTTACTTGATTAAGGATCTAAACCTAAATAAACGGACCCATACACGTTACAAGACATTTGTTGGAATTGTCTATAAGCATGGAAATCCTTGTATAATTCAGTCAATCAGTCCATTATTCGCTAAGGTTAAGTATGATGCGATCCAAAACGTTTTGAAAGTCATACCTCAAGGTGAAGCGTTTAGGTTCTTAAGGAATTTAAGACAGTAGATTAGATAACAATAAACTTTGCTAATTTTCTTGTTTGAAACACTATTTGATTTTTATTACATTGTACCAACAATTTTGCCCATATGATTTCACCACGCTTAAGGTTGTTTATATATGTCTAGTGGAACCGCAACTAGATGCAAATCAATAAATCATTGACGTTTAAGGGGAAAAAAAACCACACCATACATTGGACGAAAAATTACAAGTCTTAAGAAAAGATGATACAAACATTTTTTGTTAAGAGGAGACCTAATATCAATGCAATTTTTTGAGAAAAAATGGATATTTCTATGATTTTTTTCTCATTAGACTTGGAGAATGAAAAACCTTTCAAATTTCTCCCTATAAAAGTACCCAACAAGAGTTAAAATTGTTTAATCCTCATTCATTTACCCTCTTTTTTTCTTAAAGATGTTTCTAAAGGAGCACATAGTGCAATAACTTGTTATATTTTCTTGCATTTGACAAATAACATTTGGAAAATATGTCAAATCGTGACGTGGTATTAAGTTTCCTCCAAAGAAAAAAAGTACATTGTTTGTATCATCTGTCTTTAAGTTACATGTAATAACGAACCTGCTGATGAAAACTTTATGAGAATAAATGCTGTGAAGATACAAGTATTGAAAATCATCTCCTCTCCTGAAAATTCAAAACGAAATCAGCATTCAAACTTAGCAAATAATTTTAAAATCCTACAAAAATCATAATTTATTTTAAAAATACCTTTAAATTGATTGTATCAAAGAATTATTTAATATTTAGACATTGTGATTCCAATAAACTGGCGTAGAAAAGTCTTCTTAAAAAGAATTAACAATTAAAATACGCTTGTAGAAATGGAGCCAAAAAATGTTCAGAGAGTGAAAACATAAAAAAAAACATTGCTATTTTCAAACTGACTTAGAGTAGATTTATAATATATATCTTAAATAAAAGAAATTATTTTACTATTTTTACTTACCTTGTGTTTTTTAGTTTGCCATATGTGCAGAATACTAAATTCAAAACATTATCAAACCTACCGTGAAGTAACAAATTATAAAATGTCAACTGAAGATATGTTATGCAATAAGCATTGACTGTTCTTATAAGCTGTTTCTATACATAAAAAAAATGCATTCTAGTTATAAACCAATCTTCACAATCGTTTTATAAACCAAATAAACTTTACCTCTACTTCCACATGTTCTTTATATTTTTCTATTCAACCACTGGGTGAAAAGACCTTCTAAATTGCCTCAAGGTCTAGACTGTATTTTTTTTAGCAATTCTCTTCAGAACTTTAAATACTTGCCGTTTCCACTCGATTAAATGTTTTGAAAAATATCACGCATAGAGATTTTTAGATTAAGATTTTTATCCTTCATCTCTTATAAAAAAGTCATGAGGGAAAAACTTTTTTCTCTCGAAAAAGGAAGGATATGGAGATAACGAACAGTATTCAATCTCGAAGTCCATAAAACAATACAAAATAAGAGCAGAGCAAACACGGACCCCCGAAACATCAGAGATGGGATCAGGTGCCATGGAGGAGTGAGTATCCCCTGCCGACCGGTCACACCCGCCGTGTGCTCCTTGTCATGGTCAGGAAATAACGGGAAGATCCGTCGTCAATTTAGTGTATAAATAATGGACTAACAATTGGTATGAAAAAGTCAGCATTTGACTCAATGATAGACTGTATTTGCTGACAAGGTCATTGTATCGACCATAGAACTTACGAAATGATGACTTTAAACGAGACTGCCGAAATCATTATTCACTCTGTAAAACAATCTATCTTTTAGCTAAAAGCTGACAAAATTTTTTCATACAAATTGACCATTATTTGCACACTGAATATATTTGCGATGGATTTTCCCGTCATTTTCGATCATTACTACTAGCACACAGTAGACGTCACCGGTTGACAGGGAAAACTCACTCCTCCATGTCACTTGATTCCAACTGTGCTCTTGATTTTTATTGTGTGAATGGACTTTTAAGCTGAAAAAATTTTGTTACATGTATCTCCATATATTTCATTCAAATGAATTTTGAGAGTTTTAATGTCTATTATAGGAAGGATTGGTATACTATACAAGACAGGAGTATACAAGGTTTAAATTTAAAAAAAAATTCAAAATAAATCTTGAAATTAAGTTCTTTCCGAGCAATAAAAAATCAAATCACAATATACTTCTTAAGGTAGTCCAATCTTCAGTTCATTAAATTCGTAGTTAAGTTAAAATGCTCACAAAAATATCTCTGAATACTCTGTAGTTATTAAAATTAACTAATAGTATTACTTCAGTTTATCATTATAGTTCATCATCTTATAGAGAAATATTTATCGAATCCGCCTTACATATGCAGGAAAAAAATCATCAGCTATGTATTTTCTATAATATTAATCAACAAATATTTACGTTAAAAACTATAATCATCAAGACATTTTGCATGCATTTTATACTTATCATGAAAAGGGGCTTCCATTTCCTTTTTTTTTTTTTTAAATGCTTTTCTATGATATTGAGGTCGAGGTATCCAAATCTTTCTAATTTTGAATTATGTTATTTATTTTGTGAATTTGTGGGGGGGGGGGGGGGGGGGGGGGGGGGCAAATGTCAACTTTTTACAAGACCCTTTCTAAGACTTCAATGAACCTTGATTCATATAAGGATGCATATGAAGTTGGCATATTTAACGAATAAAAGTACAGAATGAAAACGTCTTATTTAGATAAAACGAATCTTCTAGCCTAAGATTCCACTGCTTATTAGCATGAAATAAATTAAAAGTGATCGCTGATATCTTACAATTATAATGAGAGGACACCATTTTTTGTATCAATTACCAATAAAAATAAATGAAACTGAAGTAACGAAATACGTATTCAAAACATAAAATTCTCCTGAATGCCTAGATACCATTTTTTTGTCCTAATATTATATTTCTCGATTTGAAATTGCAAAGCTGATGCTTTTCTTTGCATTTCCTGCAGATATCTTAGTAAATTTTCTTTTTACAATGAAGAATATGCAGGAAAATGACGAATGTATAAATCAAATGCCTTAAGTTAATAAAAATTACGTTTAGATTCAGAGATATTTGCAACTATATATTAACTTCTTATTTTTAGAACCTCGGGATCGGACAAACATACATGATTTTCTAAGCTATATTATTCCTTTGGGAATTCTGATTTGTGGGATTTTTCATTCTTCGAGGAATAAACCCTTTAACAGCCCAAAAAATTAATTGAATTCACAGAACATATACGCTGAACTCAGCCTAGCCTGCTCCCCTATATTAAAATAAGTTGGAAGACGTTTTCACCATATGCAGTTGACAGCGGGATATTATTATGTAAATAAGAAAAGTTTGTTATACAATTTTAGTGGGAAGTGTGGTTGACTCTTATATCATTTATAATCAGTAAAACGTCTGAATTAAAAATAGATATATTGCCGACTCTGTTGTGCCTTTTACCTCCAGATTATTGTGAGAAATTAATTTGTCATAATAATAGAAATAACTAGTATTTAAAGCTGAACACGACTCGTAAATAGGCATACGCCATTTTCCCATTTTCGATATCATTATCTACGATACCAATCGCAACTTCTCGGGCCTTTTCGACTAGCGGAAAAACGACCTCGAATGTACTAGGAAGACGCCATGACAACTCCCCCTTTTCACGATCTTTGAAATAAATGCATGGAGACCTCTCATATGTGGAATATGGAGTTTAAAACTTTATTCAATGTAATGATATTACCTAAAATATACTATAGAAGGAACTTCTATCTCCGTCTATCCTATATTTAATTAAACAGGAAATGTATAAATTTTTAACATCCGGTGATGTTAATACATTCGAGGTTGTTTTTCCGACCTCTGACGGATGATGCGATTGCTACGATACATCAACACAAGGGTATACTCCTCAGATTCGTCACACCTGACTTCTCTATTGTCACGGGTATCAGAGTGGAATGGCAACCCTTGTTGGTGTTGGTTATCTTGCATTACCTTTGTTTACATTTAATTGCAGTTACGTGTATCTGTAATTCTTTGTATACTACACTGACCTGTACAAGTACGAGTAATTTTAAGTTTCTTTGGTATCTTTACTATCTTACTTTCCTCCATTAGACGAAGTATTACGTTATTATTGTCGCTGCCGTGTGCTGTACAACTGTACTTCCGTCTACGCCGTTGTCGACTGATTACATTGAACAGTGACAAAGTCCTAACCTTTATATAAGGGTCTGCAGGTATAGCGATTCTCCGAACAAAAATGGCGCACACATTCCTTTTACGAATCGTGTTCAGCTTTTATTAAAAATATCAAAAGAGAAGTCACGATATTTGTTTTCCTCTTTAATACAAATTATAGATTTGCTTCATATTAAAATATACACAGCTAGCTCGGTCATTAAAGAATCACTATTAGAGCACATCGGAATTCCAACAGGTTGACTAAGCCATCGACAAAAATGTTGTTGCAAATTTCTTTCATCGAGTCAGATTAAAAATACACTACACCTGAACATTTTAATTTTTCCTTCAATTTTTCAACGTTAAAGAAAAAAAATTAACATAATATACATATTGAGGTCAGACGAGACGTTCCTCAAAATCTGTTTTGTATACCTTCGTAATGTATGAAAAATATTCAAAATTTTGATAACATTCTTATTTCTACACCAGTTTTTAAACGTTTTTAAAAAATCCAAACACTTAAACATTTGAAATTGGAAAATTATTTTTCGTCCCCAAAGGATTATATAAGAAAAACTACCCCTGGTATCTTGCAGAAATGCCTGGTAAGGTACCTCAATTTTTTGTGAGTAAACATGTTTAAGTAGTAATACTTCAATGACACACTCTTGGAAAATTTTATATATTATTAAGGAATGTCTCGTCTGTCCTTAACATACCTATATACTTTTTAAAACATTACTACATGTACTAATAATTCTATGCATTATATATTTACCAAACATAACAACAATGTTGTTTGTGGACTTATCATTTTTGTCTGAAACACCAATGTAGACCGATCAGCAGCGATCCAGGTCTGAATTTACTCAATTTAATGATCAGAAAATAAATAAAAAAAAAATAAAGGATCTGTTAAAGAGTATCATTATATTTATTCATTATTTTATTAGAGATAAGAGTTAGGCACCTTTCCCTATTATAGAGAGAATGGCAGTGTCCATGTTTTGCTATGTGAAACCCTGAATATGTGTCGGATCAAAGGTAAAATAGGAGAAGCACAATGACACTATGTATCAAAGAATCTGTGAACGTTTCATTAAAATTTTCATTCAAGGGTATAAGAGGAGTTGCGGATTAAAGATGGGTACCCCAAAGCGGAACATAGGAATGTACAGACGGACGGACGGACGGACGGACGGACATCTAGATCGCTATATACCATCCCACTTTTCAACCGGTGGTAAAATAATCACTAATCAGTTTCTATTCATTGAATGTAAACAAGTAAAACCATTGCAATATATATGAAGCAACATCTAACATAAGACTCCAGTTAAACTTTTTCATACTGGTTCCCCTTTACTATACAAGCTATTATACATGTTCAACGAAATTTTGAGAAAAATAGTTATGAATAATTAAAAATGATTAACCGTGTCCAAAGATTTGAGGAATTAAATGTTATGTGAGTTTTTCTTCATCATAAGCATGGTGTGGGTAGGATAAATCCAGATGCCTCTATCCACCCACCAGGAGAGACCAACTGTTTGGTGGACACCATACAATCCGTTAAGATTTGCCGGGTGGCACGATCCGAACCACCACCCGCCGTGGTGATTTGCGGCACAGTTTGCGGTAGTGTGGTTGTCGTTGTCTTTGTCCCACGTGGAAAAATTCATTCCGTTGAAGTATGTTAGAGAATCGGCTACAAGAATAAATTTTAAAAAGTCAACAATTACTTTTTACAGGGGAAAATGTTTGACCCCGTTTTATTTTCGTCCCTTTCGCCCTAATCTGTCAACCTACGATTGCGACAGAATCCCAACCATTAAATGAGTAAACGATTACCTTTGCAGAGAAATTTTCGGTTCTGTTTTATTTTCCCCCTAATCAACTTGCATATACGATACATGTCAATACACTTATTAAGACAACTTACGACAATGTGTCCTTATAAGAAAATCCTATTTTCTAAATAATTATGATTCGATTTTTTTTTCATTTTCAGATAAAAACAAACAAAAATGGATTCCCAGTGGCCTGTGATTTTCTGCCACCTGTTTTTGTAGATTTTAAAGAAAAAATCTGCAATACAATACTAGTATCCCACAAGTATTTAGAAAATTGTCGTCATGTAGCAGTTTCGCCAAAATTTCTGGTGCACCGCTTACATGCTTGTGCGAGGTTTACTTCTAGAATTTACTTACAAAGATTTCCTGTTAGGAAGTTAAACTGTGCTCGATAGTTTCTCACTTCTGAATCTACTTTGAACTCATACTCAGAGAAATATCGATAGTAACCAGCATTTAAAAGATGATCAGCATAGACTTCCACTCCAAGCGTTTCGTATCCATTAATGGAGAGCTGGTGAATAATTTCATTTCCTACAAAATAAACAATATGAATAAAATTATAGCATTGTATTCTTCGGTAGGGGATGCTCGCTCCACCATGGCACGTGAATTAAACCACGTTTGATGTTTTGGAGGTTCGTGTTTTCTCTTCTCCTATTTCTATTGGTTAATGGACTTTAAAGCTTGAATACTGTTCATTATCTATATATGTATACATGTATTTCTTTTCAATATTTACAATGATTTAAGAAATTACAGACAGACCAAAAAGGACAATGCTCTAAACATATACACGCATGCGCTCTCCATCCTTTTCGTACATCTACCTTCTACCATTTTTGCCATTAGTTGATCTATTTGATTATTTGGAAGAATAGATCCATTTTTGCCTCAAGAAAGAATTTTGACTGTTTTTAATTTTGAAAAAAAAATCCATTCTTCCCTAACCTTTTTTTAAAAAGTTTAACAGATAATGATTTAAAATGGTGCTAAAAATTCTACATGCATAATCGCTATGATTTTATACATGCTTGATGATTTCGTGTTTCTTCCTTCACAACAAGAACAATTTATTTGCACAATTTGTTTTAAGGTATAAGTAATAAGAATTTAACAACAGGTATATTTAGCGCTTGTTTAAAGCATGCGTTTTAGTTTTTATGTTTAAAGATTATCTCAAACTAGTCAAATGGTAATTGAAGGGAAATTAAACATTGTTTTAATTTTGAATTAAATTATGATTACATTTTATATGTTAACTCGCCATATTTCCCTTTAAGATGTAAAAATTGTTTGTTTATAATTACTGAAAGAGATTATCAGATTACAGAGAAAGAAGAAAAGATTTAGCCTCTTTTTAAGTCATTGTTTCAACAGATCAGCATTTCTATCCACAACGATTTTCCAAACGTATAGGTATGTATATAAAACAAGAGGCCCAAGGGCCACATCGCTCACCTGAACACATCTAAGAGGAAAAAGCACATATCAGATCAAAACTGAAAGGGGGGGGCTTGAATTTTAACCCTCCTGGGTGTCATGATTTGAACAATGTACGATCTACACTATTTGAGGATGATTCCATATAAATAGAAAAATATCACTAATTATGGCTTTGAAGTACATGAAAAGAAGTTTTTAAAAGGTTTTCCTATATATCCTTATGTACAACTTTGGTCAGCCATTTTGGGCCCAAAACTAGCCCTAGAGGTCATGATTTGAACAAGCTTGAATCTTCACTAACTGAGGATGATTCCACATAAGTTTCGTCTTTCCTGGCCCAAAAGTTCTTGAGAAGAAGATTTTTAAAGTTTTTCCTATATATTCCTATGTAAAACTTTGGTCAGCCATTTTGGCCCCACCCTAGCCCCGGGGGTCATGATTTGAACAAACTTGAATCTACACTACCTGAGGATAATTTCATCTAAGTTTCATATTTCCTTTCTCAATGATTCTTAAGAAGAATATTTTAAAAAGATTTTTCCTGTATATTCCTATGTAAAACTTTGGTCGGCCATTTTGGCCCCGCCCTAGCCCCGGGGGTCATGATTTGAACAAACTTGAATCCACACTACCTGAGGATGATTCCACATGAGTTTCATCTTTCCTGGCCCAAAAGTTCTTAAGAAGAAGATTTTTAAAGATTTTTCCTATATATTCCTATGTAAAACTTTGGTCGGCCATTTTGGCCCCGCCCTAGCCCCGGGGGTCATGATTTGAACAAACTTGAAACTACACTACCTGAGGATGATTCCACATGAGTTTCATCTTTCCTGGCCCAGTGGTTCTTAAGAAGAAGATTTTTAAAGATTTTTCCTATATATTCCTATGTAAAACTTTGGTCGGCCATTTTGGCCCCACCCTAGTCCCGGGGGGTCATGATTTGAACAAACTTGAATCCACACTACCTGAGGATGATTCCATATGAGTTTCATCTTTCCTGGCCCAGTGGTTCTTGAGAAGAAGATTTTTTAAAAATGCTATTAATTTTTCACTAAATCATAATTATCTCCCCTTGGAAGAGGGCGTGGCCCTTCATTTGTACAATCTTGAATCCCCTTCACCCAAGGATACTTTGTGCCAAGTTTGGTTGAAATTGGCCCAGTGGTTCTTGAGAAGAAGATGAAAATGTGAAAAGTTTACGACAACGACAACGACAACGACAACAACGCCAACGACAACGACAGACGACGGACAAATTTTGATCAGAAAAGCTCACTTGAGCCTTCGGCTCAGGTGAGCCAAAAACTAATGGATATAAATAAACGTTCATTCACTTTTAAAATTTAAATGATTTATATCCCTATATACATGTACCTATCCAAAACTCAGTCTCCAAGTGCCCGAATCCATATTTATATTCCTGCCAAGACCGATTAAAAGGCACTTGTCCATTGCATCTTCTTTGAATAACCTGTTGAGAAAAATACAATTTCTTTTGTCTTTTTTCTTTCTAAAAGGTTTCAATATTCAATGAATCTTAGTTATTCTTTTATTTACAAATTTGTTAGATTGACTTTAATTTTATAGCTCAAGTTGAAAATTCTGCAATAATGGACGATATTGAAAATCAACATCCTCATCAAATAAGATGATTTTAATTAACATACCAACCATTCCTCCCCATGTTTGAAAACTCTTGGTACAAGGAACGATGTTATCCCGAGTGTCATTTCTATCACCGAGGTAAAAAGTCCAGGGTATTGACACGGAGAGGAGCTGGCTGCAAATCATCACAGACGTCATTATTTTCAACATTGTTGTAAGCAAGACAACAACTGCAATTTTGTTATCGACAAATGGAAATTAAATGTTTCAAAAAGGTAAGTATTTGAATGTAAAAGAAATTGATCTATTTTTCTACAAACTAGTTCGTCAGAGTGATAAAGCTTATCTTTAAATATCCTCGCTAGCCAAGTTTCCGATTCGTCCAGGGGGAGATGAGGGAAACGAATCGGACACTTGCCTAACGAAGATGATCTAAAAAGAAAAGAGGAAAGAAAAGAGAAAAGGGAAGATATTTTGAATTACACAGCTTTCTATATAAGTTTTATGAGTTCCGTTCTCTTTTACGGCACCTTTCCTATTAAAAAGTAAGGGATCACGTTAAAACCTTCGATTTTTTTATTGTTCACGTTAACACAATTTTAGAACTCAACCTCCATGAAATTCATTCAGAATTATTTTGCCAAATCGATTTTTAAAAGAAAAAAAAACCTTCCTTGACATTGAATTATCATATTTTACTCTTGTGTATTGAAAATAGATGAACCGACCTAGAACAGATAAAAACACAAGGTTGAAAGATCAGCAGTCTGCTTAAATATCTGCATTTGATATTAACTATGCGCTCATTCCGTATGAAAAATGTAAAACTAACGGACAGTGATCTCTCTAAAAAAAAAAAGCCGATGAATACAAGAAAAAAATCTGAGAAAGGGGTATAAAACACAGTCCCCTGGAAATTCTTCAGGTGGAATCGAGTGCCAGAAAGAATTAAGCATCCCTTGTTAACCACTGTATTGATTTAATCAAGAAACGTTAAATCTGACCTTGCAGATGTATGATAGTCATGTTTACTTCAAGTCCAGTCTCTTGTTAAAAAAAAAAAGTACCTAGTTAAAGTCACTAAGATGACTAGTAAATTTACAGTCCATACAACCAATACCTCAAAAGTAGTTTTACTAGATATTGGGTATATCCTTTAGATAAGATTAGTAAATGTAGAATTGATCTAAGTAACTTTCACTAGGTATCTAAGTATCTATACGACCCCCGCTCCACAACTCATCATTTTAGCCAGTATAAACTGAAAGATTACTATTCAGGACAAACGCTTTACGTGGCACACTAGTAAAATTATCTAGGTTTTTTCAGTGTTCATATTTTTTTATTTCCTTAAAAGAAGCATTAGAATAACATAAAAAGGTACAGGGTACATATCAGATGTAATTCAGAGAATTTATTACAATATGCTTTACGATTTTCAAAAATACATTTTTAGTCAACTTGTTTGTACATACAATTTATCTTTTGGTCGCATTAGTTTGACCTGCTCATTACCGATAATTTATTATCATTGTTTTGATAATAATTTTTTCTACGTAGTACCTCGTACATTCTATCATAACATGAGGCCCACGGCTGGTTTAAGCACTCAACACAAGTGCACACTCTTCCTTGATAAAACCTCTGTTTGTTCCAGGGAACCGTGTTTTTCATTGCTCTTGATTCAATTTGATTACTGGACTTACGCAATTGATCACTGTTGTTATCTTTTACAAAAATTCTATTTTATCTGTTTCAAATAACCATTAGCATAATAGAGAATTACGTACCATTTGAAATAAACTCCCAATTTCCATCCTGACACAGCATTTGGAAATGCACTTCGTCATTATTTACCCCAAATGGATTTTGATCACCTTTGTAGTTGTAGTTGTAGGTGATTTTGGAGCCCACCTGCTCATTCTTAGATTTAAGATCGGCATTGAAGAACGAAGGAGGTAACCCACAATCTGAAAAGAAATTTTTTTTTTAAAATTGCTACAAAATAAATTTGCATCTCTGTGTGTGAAAATATACGTTTAGAATTTTATATCTAGATTCCCTTTCCTTTTGTTTGATGGATCACTCCTGAACATTAATATGGATTGTAAAGTGATGCAACAGACCAAAAAATTAGGTTGTTTAACGTTCAGAGAGAGACAGACAGACAGACAGACAGACAGACAGACAGACAGACAGACAGATAGACAGTGAGAAGTGTTTAACTAAAAACCAATTAGCAACTGAAAATTACAATACCGGTATATACAAAATATAAATTATAACAAGTTATTAATAACAAATGGATTTCAAATATATCAAAGACAAAATAAACAAAAATTGCATTACATTATATCATTCATGTTTTGATTTAGCTGAAAAATGTGGGGATTTTTTTTACCTGACATTCCGCAAGTAAATCCCTTAATCCCGTTGACAGAAACACATATTTCATTAAAGTTGCAAGGATTTGACGAACAATCTCCAACAATTCTCTGCATAAAAGATTATATGAGTAGGTTAAATTTCAAACAGTAAAGTAAAACATGTGTAACACATAGTGATGCTATGTCTCTTTATAAAACTGTAACATGACAACACAAATAAACTGTCAAGATTATTGGAATAAAATGGTTTTAAGAGTGCTAGCTTTTGTTCAGTATAAATATTATATTCTCGGGATAACTAATGTAAGAAAAAAAAAATAACCATAATACTTTAATATCGTTGATTTGGAATCTGTATGAATAGAAAAATAATCTTCAAACAATTAGGAACAAAAATTAGATACAATTAATAAAATTACCTTTGTCAAAATTTATGAATAAAAAAAAGTATTCTTTCCATAAATTGGAATGGAGTATAATGATATTGTAATGTTTTAGCTTCAAAAATGTATATTTTGAATCTTCTATTTCGTGTTAAAACAAATCATATTGATTGTAATCACATTCCACATTCATAACATTTACAAGCTTAAGAGAAATTTTTATAAAAGAAATTGGGATTTTGATAAAATTCTTTATTTTTGTTTTTAATTTAATACTCACTGAATCCCAGGAGCTTTTTTCACTGAAGATGAAATCATCGGCCTCTACACTTTGGACGAGAGGGCAAGACAAATACGATGCTAGTTCATTTATTTCACAGAAAAGTTTGCTTCTCGAGTAATTGACCGACACACATCTTTTTCTTCGAAGACATTCTTCAATACAGTCAATAAAGTTTATACCACTGTTGTAATGAAACGTGCATGCATTTTGGTCTTTTTTCCACTGTATGTCATAAAAACCTCCGATAAGATTTGAAATGGAAAATTTGTAAAATAACAATTGGACTACAAGAATTACTCTTAGAAAAAAAACTGCAATTATCATTTTCCGATTATGCAGGGGACATAAAAATCACATGCCCACTATGCAAAGACAATACTTCGAAGGATATTTATATGTAACTCCTGCAATAATCCATTGGAACTTTTTTTTCAAGCCAATGATATGCACAGATAGATCTATTGTGCAATGATAACCTGTGTACATTGGGTGGGGAAAAATACATATATCATATTTATAAAAACCTTAAAATTTTAAATATCTTTAAGGTGATGTTTTAAATAATAGTAGTTTAAATTTCAGCTGCAAGAAAATAAGACTTCATGCTGATCCTATTTAGTTTACCTTAATTTTTTCAATCCCTGGTTATTTCAGGTCGTCTCAAATATTGCCTTTTAAGACAAATCTACTTAACCCATTTGAATTATTTTCTACTTCTAAAAATCCAGCTGAGGAAAAACATCTTTTTTTATTTTTAACAGGTATCTAAAATCAAAATACAATGTCGTATTTTTAAAAAATAAAATCTCCTAGTGTTTCAAAAAATAACTATAATAGATAATAGATAATTGAATAAATAGATTTTTCAAGTCTTCAGTATTCCGAAGAAATATACGTCAAAGACATAAACACTGAACACAAGGCCAATTCTGATCTCATTAGCAATTTTGCAGAAATATATATTTCACATTACGTCTTTTTTTCGGATGTCATACAATCACTGTCACTGATCATGACTGTCCCAGCTATCAAAACAATCTCTCACTATATGTAAGAAGCTATGTTTACCTTACCGTATTGGTCATTTACTTTTTTATGGGTACGAAATTAGAAAATTTGAAGGTTTTTCATTCTTTCTGATAACTATAAAACCATATTAATTAATGTATACAATTAATCCAATTCTAAATGACAAGGTAATTTTTTAAAGACGGAAATTTATATAAACACGAGCATGAAATAACTTTAATTCACCATATGCCACTACCCTCTTTTCCATAGTAACTGTTATGTAGCTATTTTAACGTTTTAGAGCATTCAAATTACATGCTTGATTTAATAATTGGTACCGCCCACTTACAGAATTAATAAACATTTTCTATCTATTTTTACGTAAAGGGTCATTTTCCCACAAATTCTTTTACAGACTAAATAACGAACAATCTTAATTTTGGAATTTTTTGTATGTTGCCATTTTACAAAGATAGCATCGAAATTTGATTGGTTTGTTTCTGGTATCATGCTCTTATCTTGAGTAAAATTTTTATCAAAATCCGTGACTTTGCTCGCCAAAAGGCTTACATATAATTTCTCTTGCATATGACATGTACATGAAAATTTTATAATGGGATTTATTTTGCATTAAAAATGAAATGGATTTAAATACCTGGAATTTTTTAATTTGTGCACTTACAATTATACAAAGTAGTTTTGTTCAAACATTGTACTATTATCATATTCATTCAAAAAATGCATAATTTTTATGTTTTATTGTGTAGGCTTAACAAAGCATACTTTTAAAAATAAAGAACAATATTATACGTATTTTCAAGTTCCCTTTCTCCTCTCTGAAGTCTCTACTCAACTACAAATCCTTTTCAAAACATGCCACAAATCGCAATGATATACTGTTTGCATTACGAATGTAAATAATAAAAGGTCCTCTTTGAAAATTTTTTCGATAATTATTTAATGGGATTTACGCAGGTATTAAGGATATGTCAACGCATGTTTATCCGGTTGATAATTGCTTACAGTGTCACTAGAAGTAAATTGCACTGCACTGTCGTTAATTTTTCTTTATGTAAAGGCCCTCGATATCTGATCTGAAGCACCTGAATTACTTTTCATTGATGCAATTTGAATGGTACATTATAAATCTATCGTTAGTTCAAACAAACTGCATATAACAGACAAGATGTCTTTGTAAAACACTATTTCCCTGTATGGTAGATTATGGCGAGGGTTGAAATTTCTAAAATGTTGATCAAACTCCAAGGACAAAATTGTTGGTATCCAAAGGAAAGGTCTTGTCATAAGGAATAAACCTGTACATGTGAAATATGAAAGCCCTAGCACTGACTGTTTAAAATATATTGTCAAGGTCAAAAGTTTAAACATTTATACCCTTTGAAAGGTGTTATCACAATAAATACACAGCTGAAGTATGAAAGCGCTAGCACTAACTGTTCAACAGTTTCATGGTCCAAGTTAAAGTTTGGTAATTCTTTGCAAAAGTTGGTCAAACTCCAAGGTCAAGAGGTCAGATTTGGCGGAATCCGGAGAAGGAATACACACACTGTACATGAACACCTGTGAAAAGGTGAAAGCCATAACCCAACCCACTGCAAGGTAATGGGCAAGGTTAAAGGTTTTTCGCCTTATCACCATATAGGAAGTATTTTCCTTTTCCCGGTATTTCCCGATCATAAGAAAGGGCACTTGGCGGGTGTAACCGGTAGGCAGGGATGCTTACTCCTCCCTTGCACCTGATCCAATCTCTGATGTTTTTGAGGTTTGTTCTGCTCCTATTTTATATTGTTTTCAGATTTCTTTTATCTTAAACATTATTCGTCAACTCCATATCTTTCATTTTATATCGTTAGAGAATTTTAAAACATTTATAATTTTTTCTTCTCTTTTAAGATTTTATTTAATTCACACTCTCAAGTTAATTAACTTACTGATAATTGCATCAAAAGCTTTGTGTAAAGGTTAGTTAATTTCCAAATAACAGAAAAGTAAAATGTATTTGAACCGCATATACAAAATGTGTTAACCTGCAGTAAAAATGTTGACATGATTTAAACTAGGCAATTTGTCATTGACATCAAAGAGTTACTTACTTGACTTCTTTTCTTCGAATAAGAGGTGCCTTAAAGGTTGCTGCTTGTCAAAAGAAAAGAATCTAAACTTGATTTTCTTTTAATTTTAATATGAATACGGATAAGTAGACAAAGATAATACTTTAGTGATATCATTACATAAAATTTCGCATATTCATTCACATATATATGTTCAACGCCTTGATAACAATTCCTCATATAATCACAAACTCAGGACTCTAGAAGTTTTTTTTTCGATGCAAATCCCCCATTCGTTGCACAGACTTTGCATTAAGCATAGTGTTAACAACATGTTCAGTGTATGAAATATCCACCTTAATTAATATAAATGTGTGAACATTTAAGGATACATTTTGTCTTAAATTGCCAATAACTGTAAGACCAGGATGGGAAACGCTGTTATCTTTTTTATAACCTTCTTCTCTTTTTATATAACCTTTTCTGAATCATGCACTCGTCACCCACAGGAGCATTTCTGTACCGCTGGTATCGGTAAGTTATAGTTGAGGTTGTTTTTGTGTGTTTTAAGTATTAAAGGCATTACTATTATTAGTTAGTGGAAGTCAACATACACGAAAATGTTTTTCAAAATATCCTTGCATGTAATTAAATGCCATTTACTTTTTTCTAATCAAAAGGGGTTGCATTATTTGACATTTAGCTTTTTTTTTAACTTAGGAAAAAATTCTAATTTTAATTTTTTCCTTCAATCACAGATGTTCTCTTAAAGCAATAGTCTTCCTTTTAATTAGAATTGAACATGAAATACTTATATGCTTACAATATTAAGTTTTGGCCACATTGGTGTTACGGTTCCATTATAGTGATTTGTCATGTGAGTTATTTAATAATTCTTAACTATAAAATGGCTTTATTCCACCCATTGCAATTGATTTAAAAAATCGAGGGGGCTTATGAACGTAATTTATACATGAAAATATATTTCCTTTTCAACCAACTAAATTTTAAACTTTACTTCTGTTTATCAACATTTCTCATGTCATTCAGAAATTAAGAATGGATACAGGGCTTTTGAAGCGTTAACTTCTGCTTTAGAAATTGGATTCAATTATTAGGGCCCCGCAAGGATTTGCAGGTGCCCTATAGTAATCACTCTGTCTGTCCGTCTGTCTGTCTGTCTGTCAATACTCTACCTTCCACAAATTTTCTGTTATTTTCACATAACTTTTTTTTATGGTTGTCCAATCAAGTTACAAATTTGGTATGGTAGTTCAGTAGGCAGAAATACATATTTTGATGCTAAGTTTGGTTCTCTATGTCTTCTGGTTTGGAGCTGGGGTGGTTTGGTAGATTCCTTAACTTAATGCATAAGAATGAATGGGCAACTTTTTTTATGGTTGTCCCATCAAGTACAAATTTGGTATGGTAGTTCAGTAGGCAGAAATACATATTTTGATGCTAAGTTTGGTTCTCTATGTCCCCTGGTTTGGAGCTGGGGTGGTGGGGTAGATTTCTTAACTTTATATATATAAGAATGCATTGTCAAAGAGAGATAACTGCTGAAGATGTTCCCATTGTAAACTGAATGCTGGCTATGAGTCCCTTGGGATTAATTAGCTTTCCTCCTGAAGAAAACCCAGAGCATTATCTTTATCTGTCACATTGAGATGAATTACCACCTCTGTCTGCAAATGAAGTTTGTTTTGAAGTTAAGTCAATTTGTAATGCTATGAACACTCTGAAATGTGGATTTAAATATAAATTTTTATAATTTATTTTTGTTTAATACTTATGATTTCATTGAATTCTAAAAACAAGAAATATATGAAAGAAGATTTTTTGATTTACTTTTTTTCACTTTATGTTAATTAATTTTTAAGGTAGTTGTATAAAAAAACCCATTCTATCATTAATACTGAAAAAGTTCTTATTGTAACTTAATTTAGAAGAAAATGATGAGAGAGGTACAATCAATCCTTTGGGATTAATTATCTAGCCTGCTGCAGAAAATTAAGTAGGCTTTTCAAATCTTTAAGATTAATGAAAACCTTTGTCTGTGACTGCTGTTTGTTTGAAGTTAAGGTCAAGCCTTCATGATATTTGCATTCATTGAAGGCTGGCATTCTATATAACACAAGCTTCATAATTGTTTAAATATACATTCAATGTTAAGGGGAGACAGGACACATGTCACATGACTAAAAAGACATACTACGTCATAATCGGTGATGATTTACATGTTAAACGTTGTTAAAATCAACAGTTCTTGTGTGATTTTATTCTAAATTCTAAAATTGTTTTTTAAACATTTAATTTTAGAAAGTATTATTAATAAAATGTTTAAAGATCTTGCCATCATTTAGATATTGTGAAGTTGCCCAATCCACACATTTGTTTCTCATTACCCTGCAGTCTGACGTCAGTGACGTCATAGACGTAGTGTTTGAATTCTCAGTGCAGCGAGATCAAGAACACACACCCGTCATAATCAGTTTTATTTCCCAATAAACAGGTCACAGTCAATGTATCGCGACAAATATCTGAAGCAGATTTTCTAAAAATAATATTTTTTGTTTTTAGTAGCAATGATTCTCTCTATTTAGATAATTTTGAATGTCTGTGTTTTTGTGTGACGTCACAATTGATTTCCCGCACTCGGAAAATACGAACGTGATGCGTTTTTATCATGTTTACGTCTTATTAAACGATGTCTTGTGCGATATTGAGGTAAGCTTCACCCTGTGATATTTATGCAGTAAATAATTACGACGAAGGACTGACATTCAATCGTAAATTTAAAAATATTCATTGACAGATTTTTTTTCCAAATGAGGTTTTTGTCGTTGAAGCTGCCTTGAAAAATGCAGAAATTATCCCACCCAAATACTATATAAAATTAAAACAATTGCTTTCAGATAATTTAAACACTATGAATATTCTGAAATATTTAATAATATAGTGTTATCTATAATATTTATCGTTTTGCGTAAAAATTCGCATTGTGGAATCCGTTATGGGCCCGTAAACATGAAGTATCTAAAATCCATACAAACTCTAAACAGGGCGATTTTTGTGGGGCGATATCTTTTAAATAAGTCAAGAAATCCCATACCAGGACCGTTTTAAAATGTTAAGAACATATTAAATAAGTAATATAAAAAATACGAAAAAAATTCACTGACAGGAATTTTTTCAGCGAAAGGTCCTGTTCCTCTTTAATCATTCCGTAAGCTGCACCCTTTTAATTCTACCCCATGGCGGGGCCCTTGCAGACTGGTCAGTTTTTTAGTTCTTGTTAACTTTTAAATCTTCATCTTTCTTGCATCTAGTAGGAATTTTTTCAAAGTTAAACAGGTGCATCTGAAAGCATCTTTACAAGTTATGAAATTTCTTTGCAAGTAACATGAGTAATGAAATGGAATTTGAGGACAGTAATTCTTTTATTCAAGTATTTTGATAATGTTTTTTTTAGTTGTGCAGGCTGCAGTTCTAGAAATAGATTATAGGAGCCAGATGGAGGTGATCAATACAGTAAGAATATCAAGGGACTTGAAGGTACAATGACAATATCAACTTAGCGTTTTCCATAATAAATTGTTTTAGCCAAAGAATAGAAACTTTTTAATAAATTTATATATTATATAGAATTTATTATAAATTCGTAAATAAATACATTATATACCTTACTATTAACAAGATGATTATTTGGAGGAATTGTTAATTTTCGTTTTTGCAGAAAAAGTTTAGAATAAATTTGAGAGTACAACGGATCAACAATCACGACGGTAATACGTCGGATGATTCACTTTCTGGATGAAATGATTGGGGAACATTATTTTTATAATTCAAAATGCATTAATAATAGAATAAAATAGAATACTTATACCAATAACTAGATTACAAGCATTCAGATTACATGTAACTTGGTGCGAACAAATGGTATAATTAAAAATATATAGAGATTACGAATAGTATCCAAGCTCAAAAGTCTTATAAACTGTACAGAATTAGAGCAGGGCTAACAAGGACCTCCAAAGCACCGGAGATGGGATTTTGGGGAGTGAGCATCTTATTCCGACCGGACATATAATGTTTAGTACAAAATAAGATAAGGAAGGTTTAAAAGGAAAACTCTATTTTGAATTTTGTTTACACTTCAGAAAAGTCTAAAAATGGTATGAAGTAATCCGCCTTTAAAACAGTTTTTAAAATACGATTGCAATAATAAATAATAAATTCCATTTTCAGAATTCTCAACCTGTTCCTAGAACACAATGTATTCATACAAGAGGATCGGATGCAAGTTGTGGGACATTTTTTGAACTGAATCAAGACTACATTTTCACAGGTTTGTCATTTTAGCAGGGAATATTGTCATATCTGGAACATCAAGGATACACATGAATAAATATTTTTATTTCGCAATTTGAAAAAAAAATTCTATAAATGGAAATACGTAAATACAGGATTTAAACGTTAAATTATCAATAAGATGTTGAAATCAATATTTTGGATTTAATGTCATGAAAAATTCTTGATCTTTTTTATTGAAAATTCGCTACAAAAGTCATGTATTGGCTCTTCAACTGCATTAATTTCTGCATTGTTGAATTTTTTTCTAGGAAATGTTCTAAACAGCGGTTCGTGGTTTACAACCTCATGCAATTTTTCTCCACAAGTGCAATATCTCTCACCGTTCCACAGGGCAGCGTTATATCTAGGGATTTACAGGAATAACTGTGACTGCAAAGTATGACAGTCTTTTAAATATACACATATATATTATAACTCTCAAGATATAGTCAATTCTAAGTCTTATATGTTTGCTTCTTATTTTTCATTGAACAAAAACATAATTATCTATGTTGTTTGTTTAATAGGTTACTGATTGTACATTTCCTGGATTAGACTGTCCCTCAGTCGTGCTTGAAATTGAATGCGTCATCAGATCTGAGAGCAATGCAGGCTGTCTGTACGAGAATAACACTTGTGGGAGAGTCGGTTATAGGTGCAACTGGATTTTAAATGTATGCTTCGAAAGCAGGCGGTATTAGATGTAAGGAAAAAATAACGTAAAGAAATATTCTTTAATTAAGGAACACTCAGTTTTTGTATATCTCGTACAGTACTATGATATTAAAAAAAAAATGCCATATCTATTTCTCATATAAATAATTTATTCACTAAATAGAATAAAGATCAACTAACAATTAAATTGTATAACAAACTTAAATTGTATAACTTCAGCTTTTCAAGCACACTCAATTGATAATTATTTGTACATTGTAAAAACGTTACACAATTAATCAATTATAGATATTCAATTCCCAGGGAACATCAAGTTAGATGATAAAGCTGGAAACTTTTGTAATAGTATATACATTTTCATTAATAGACCGCATTGTTATAAATATTCTCTTCAAAGCATTCAGTATTTAACAAAGTAAAAATAAAAAAGGTAAAATTTATTTTAATTTAAAACTGATATGAAGATTGCATTGCATATTCCAAACGATTTTATTGATACTACTTTTGCGAAAATATCAATATCTTTCACTTGATTAACAGCTAATGTTATACGGACATAAATCGTCAGATACACCAAATTTAGAATTTGGACAAGTAGATTTCTCAAATACACTTTGCCGATATATAATAAGTAGTGAAGGAATCTGGATATTTATTTCAACACACCAGCATTCTACAATATAGAAAAAGGTTGATGATAATAGCATTGTATAACAAACATTCAGTAAAATATAAAATCTAGATGCCTAACTGTAGCGTGATCATTTGGTTTTATATTTTTGGTCTTAGACCAAAACAGAACAGCAGCATTTTGGTTTTTGACCAAAAAGCAACATATGTCGTAATACAAATATTTTGCAATTTACGGCGCAAGATTTTCTGCGTACGGTTAGAAAGCTTTTCTCCACTTTCCAGCATTGGTCAATTAATTGTCTTTCACTAGCTAAGTAAAGACAACCTTTATATTTAAAAGTACTTGCACGGATGTGTCAATCAAACCCGCCAAAAAATTGAAGTTTTAATAACTTTAGAATGAAATAAGATTTTTAATTAATTTTTGTGTGGTACCTTTAAGGACGCTCTTAACACGGCACACTAAAGAGCTGTATTTATTGGGTAGTTTTATGCAGTTAGATTGATCTGCCTTTAGATGTCAGATTAAAGAAATTGTTATATACTTAATTACATAAATTATAATAGATTAATATATTTTTAGCATTCTATTAAACCAAGAGTAAGAAATTTAATTATTTTCATTAATTTTTCCAGTGTAAATAAACAACAGTGATTTCTGCTCACAAATAGTCCATTGTCTTTGAACATTTTTCCCGTGCAAATAAGCCACGTACCCTATGTTTTAAATGAATGAAAAAAGTCTCAATATGCACACCTTTATATGATATATTTTTGTTTGCCCTATTCAGATTTTTGTTGGAAGTTATTTAATGGAACACTGCTTAAAGTTTCGTCAAAGGTCAACATGTCTAAAAAATTATTTTTGCAATAGTTCCAAAATTATGTCTGGTACAAAGTCAAAACGTTTACAGTTTATAAATATATCATTGATTAATAGACAGAAAGTATCACTTGATAACAAATATTTTAAAATAGATTTTTTGGGAGAAAAATTGTATCAGAAAATGTGCATATTTTAAAAAAATGCACCTGCTTTATTCTGTCCTTTTTGTGAAAATCATCATTGCAGAAATAATATATGTTTATCATTGAAGGGCAAGTTGGACGTCAATGGTCTTTGAAAGGCTGTTATTGAAAGCATGCCTTGTATAAAGACAAAACCCCTTTAGAACCCGCCATTTGCGATGTACTTTCACTTTCAAGTCTTAACATTTGGACAAAATAAACAGGGAAAACAACTTTCCAGAGACTATCTAAGTCCAACTTGCCCTTCATTGATAAACATATTTTGTTTCTGCAATAATGATTTTCACTAAGAGCACGGAATTAATTAGGAGTATTTTTTGAAAATATATGCATTTTTAAGATGAATTTTTCTCAATCACAATTTTTTCCAAGTATTTTTTTTTATCAAGTGATACTTTCTATTTGTTAATCAATGAAAAATTGATAAACTGTAAAAGGTTTATCTATATACCTCATATAATTTTGGGGCTATTGTAAAAATAAATTTTTGAACATGTTGACCTTGGACGAAACCTTAACTCCGTCCCTAGAAGTTATTATACGTTGGAATTCAGTAAAAGATTTTTATCTGACTTCCAATATGGCTACTTAAGATCAAGGGAAAAAGGTACCGCACTATGACAAATGATAAGGCAGACGGAACATAGCGTATTCAAATTCAATATTAAACAAAGGCCTAACAGTTGGAAATAAAGTCAGCCAAAAATACGCTCAAATGAAATACTATATCTGCTAACAATGTCGTTATAACGACCATAGATTTTACAAAATGCACATTGAATGTTTTTAATTTAAAATAAATGAGTTTTCGTATCTTTTTTTTATTTCGAGTTTCTGAAAGAAATACACTACATAGTGCGTCATTTTGAAAAAGATAGTCACAATGTTCATACTTCTAAGTGTCATGAAAATTCAAAAGTGTGTTATGCTCAGGTTGACGAGAAAATGATCAAACACAAGAGTCAAATCAACTTACTCAGAAATCTCTCAGAATCTATTATTCATAAGAATGTATCTAAAAAACGTGCGTTTTTGCCAAATTTACAGCTGGAATATGATGATCCTGGCGACATTAGAAGCAAGAGACATTTTGAGGTGACTTCAGTATTCAAGTCTGCCACATCCAAATCAGTATGATACGTCAGATTTTATTGCTAGGGTTCGATTCCCAAGAATAGCATCCAATACGTTAATAATAGAAAAATTTTTACGAGATTTTTTTCTCTCAGAGAAGGTTTTTTTCTCATAATTTCATAAATTTAATAATGAGAAGTGAAATTAATTTAAATACTCCATTCTCCAATTGGATATGATTGCTTTATATCTGACGCTATAGGCATTCTATCCGCCTTGTTTCCCCATCTTCCTCCAACACTAATGTCAGACAACACTGAATGTTATTCATTAATAGATAATTTAAAAAAGATATATCATTGAACATGTTGAAGTATCATAACTTAAACAAGTTTCCTCACCAGAAAGATTTCTTAAAAGGCATTAGTACAAGATATCATAGAATGCTGTTTACTCTCTATATATACATGTATAATCTTTATGGAAATCAATATCTTTAGCATTATAACTAATAGTAAGTGCCTTTGTTAACTTAACACATATAGAAAACAGTTTAGAAATCTGCAGATAATGACAATTCTGATTAATTGCTTGTGCGTTACAAAGAGACATATTTAACATACATTGCAGAGAACTAATTTTGTCACGAGAATCAGCATCAGTATGTAAGCAAAACAGCCAGCATGAGGATCAGCATTTGAAAAACAGAGCATTGAATCATGTGCATTATTTTTCTCTTTTGACTACCGATTACTCCATGTGACGTATTTTATATCCCGTGGGAAAGGGCAATTTTGAAAAAGTTTTTAGAAATTTTTTCAACTATTTTCTTTCTCACATTTTTTCTGTTATGCCAGAGACATAAAAACATTTAAAACTCTTCTATAATTATTGATTTTTCAACACCTACCTCTGTTATTAATTCGCTGGAGCAACAGTTGACCCAGGCTTCAACTTGATGATGTTGTAAAAAGCTTGTCTAAAATAAAAAAAAATCAATTTTAGTTTGACTAGATATTTTAAAGTCACTGTATGATATTTACAACCCTATATCTCCATGTCCTTCATTTACAACCCTACTTTCCGTTAAAAAGTACAAATAATGATGCATATGATTCTTAGCGTGATGGTAAAAAAGTGGAAATTTAAAAAAAGATTGATGGAGTTTTGGACAGTTAAATTTTATTTATGAAAATAATTATTCAATTAGCAGTTCAATTTAATTTTAGGAAAAAACTAACCTTATTCTGTCATTTTTGTACATCAAGTAAATAGTCTCAATGGCATCAAGCAAGATTTCTGCCATTTCTAGTATAAAAATGGCTAAATTGATCTCCTGATTACCATGATTTTTATACAATAAGTACGCGTTGATAGCAAGGAAAACGTCGAAAAGTAATCCAAATACTTTTGTCAACAATTTAATCCATGAATTTTCAAGTTCTCCACTACAACCGATTAAAAAAAGTATCCAAAGTAAAACAGTGAATAATATACACAAAGTGAAAAAAGCTATGTTAGTATCTACTGTAAAATGTTCCGTGTTTTGTAATGTAAAAAAGAAGAGCTCACCAGATGTGTCACTTGCACACATGAATAAACGGATAAGAGGTGAATTTTCCTTTAAACGAATTTGATTCACTAACGAAAAGAACAAAGTAATTAGATCATAAGGTTCCTCCAAATTTTCATTTTTTGGTTTCGTCATTGTTAAAATATTGCTCCAATTTTTTTAGATATTTCAAACAAGATTAAAGTTCAATGGCATATAATGATTAGAAATTCGCAATTTGAAGTGAATTCAGGACGTTGAAATAAGTCTTTATATGAGGCTTTACACATCATTAGTTTTACTGTGCATCGTCTGCTTTTAAATCCCACTTTCGTGAACTAAAATAATCAAGGTCTAAAGATTCCTGAATTCATCCAACACCCTTGAATTAATATTTGGTTCTAGATAAGATGTTTTTCTTTAGTGAATTTTTATTCAGTATTTTTAGTAAATCCCTCTCATACCAAGGAACAAATTAAACCTTTAACTATTGTTTCATAAAAAGACAACGTTTTTGTACTTTTAACTTGGAAAAAAGTAATGAAATATTATTTAAAAGTAAATGAAAATAGCCTTAATCAGCAAATACAATTTTTCATTAAGCCAAATGCTAACTTATGCTCTTCATACTAGTTAGTCCATTATATGCACATTGGACTACTGATGGATTATTTCGTTATTTCCTGATCGTGTCAAGGAGCAAAAGGCGGGTGTGACCAGTCACAAGGGGATGCTCATTTTTCCATGGCACCTCATTCCACCTCTGACGTTTTGGGGCGGAGCATGGAAGACCTAAAGATCCTCAAAATACCTTTAGTAAGTGTATCTTGTCTGAACAAAAAAACAAACAGGGGCATAAGTCTAGTTTGGATAGTTCTAGCTTCCATTTTTCTTGCATCTTCCTTACACCATTTTTATTGTTTAGCAGCTTCTAAGTATAAAACGTGTCAAAAATTGCATTTCTCTCTTTCATTTCAAAATGGATATCGTTTGTGTTTTTGAATAAAATATTTCAAAAATTCCGAGGGGAAACAACATTAAACTTATTTTTAACCAGCTTTAAAATAATTTCCTTTATTTTCAGATATAGAGATATACATGTACCTGTTAAAAAACATTCTAGATTTTCTAAAGGAATTTAAATCAGTTGGTGCATTACAGAGATTTAAAAAGAATTGAAAAGAAAAGAATTAAAAATAATTGTCTTTCATAAGAGACCATCAATTCAAATCATTCTTAATACAGTTGAAAGGTTTTCATTTCTGAATAGATAATTGAACGTTTTTCATAAATTGAGTAAATAAAAAAATAAAAAAGTGTTGTATTACTTATTATTTTTTGTTGGAACAATTGTGTGAAGCGGCCATGACTTTAGTAATATATCTTGTATACAAACTAAGCATTGATCGAATATATTAAAAACATGGAAGACCTCAAGACCCCCAAAATACCTTTAGTAAGCGTATCTTGTCTGAACAAAAAACCAATCAGGGCATAAGTCTAGTTTAGATAGTTCTAGCTTCCATTTTTCTTGCATCTTCCTTACACCATTACACCATTTTTATTGTTTAGCAGCTTCTAAGTATAAAACGTGTCAAAAATTGCATTTCTATCTTTCATTACAAAATGGATATCGTTTGTGTTTTTGAATAAAATATTTCAAAAGTTCCGAGGGGAAACAACATTAAACTTATTTTTAACCAGCTTTAAAATAATTCCTTTATTTTCAGATATAGAGGTATACATGTACCTGTAAAAAAACACTCTAGATTTTCTAAAGGAATTTAAATCAGTTGGTGCAATTACAGAGATTTAAAAGAATTGATATGTCTTTCAAAAGAGACCATCAATTCAAATCAATTTTAATACAGTCGAAAGGCATTCATTTCTGAATAGATAATTGAACGCCTTTCATAAATTGAGTAAATAAAATACTGGATCTGATTATGGGCTTAAAAGTATTTCTTAAATAAGAACAGACGACTATTAATTATTATATAATAATAGCATTTATTACACATATATGGAACGCCATGGCTGCCTTATGTTAGCTGACTTTATTATATGCTGTGGGTTTGTAAGAATATGCTGTGGGTTCGTAATTATATGTTGTGGGTCTTTAATTATATGCTGTGGTTCTATAATTATATGCTGTGGGTTTATAATCATATGCTGTGGGTCTATTATTATATGCTGTGGTTCTATAACTATATGCTGTGGATCTATTATTATATGCTGTGGGTTTATAATTATATGCTGTGGGTCTATTATTATATGCTGTGGTTGCATTATTATATGCTGTGGTTTCGTAATTATATGCTGTGGGTTCATTATTATATGCTGTGGGTTCATAATTGTATGCTGTGAATCTATTATATGCTGTGGTTTCATTATCATATGCTGTGGATTCATAATTATATGCTGTGGGTGTATTATTATATATTCTGTCGGTTTATTAGAAACTAGCTTTTCGAATCCGGACTTCTTGTTTTTGGAGTTTACTTGCTCAAAAAGGCGGCAACTGCAACAGGGCTTACCGTAATAGGAATGAGAGTACCAAATCCCCGAATGAGCACATTGCTTTATTTGTGGTACCACAAATAAAGCCATCTGCTCATCCGGGGATTTTGGTACTCTCATTGCTGTGTATCAGTTTTTGATTTCGATAAACGGTGTTGCCGTTGTTACTAAAAATAGAATTTTTTGTGAAAATCATTCAAAATGCTACTCCTCCCACAGTTTTGGTCAGATTTCAATATAACTTTGCACACAAGTAGACTACTCTAAATTAGTCCAAATTCCTTGAATACGCATGCTCGTCGTGCATTTTGGGAAAATTGTGAAAATTACCATAAGACCGTACGATAACAATTTCGTTGTATCATTAAATAACTTTGTTTATTTATTGTGTAGTTTAAACTCTAAAGATAACTGCATAATTGTAATACTTCAAATTTTCCTTTTTTTCTGACGGAAAAGCCCGAGTCACTATAGCTCATTGTTCTAAGCAAAGACAAGGGAGGTTTTTTGCTAGCGATCGGCTTCACGGTCGGGCATTCTGGGAAAACTTCACACGGTCTAGCTGTCTGTGAAAAACGACCATAGATATACTGTACGATAACAATTTCATTGTGTCATTAAGTAGAACGGGTCTTTTCTGGTTGATTCTGAAGTTTGTTTATTTACAGTGTAACTCACACTTTAATGTAAACTACACAAGAAAAAACTTAGGTCATATAATGCAAAGATTCTAGACATCTAGCTTGCGAGTTCTACCTCCTTCCTGAATAATGCCGTCAACCTCATAAAAAATCTCTTTTTTTTCTTTTCAAAATTTATTGAATTGGCAAGACACAATAAGCGATTGATACTTCCACACTAATAGAATTTTAATTCTATAAAATACACTTCACAAAAGATTTTAACTCTAACAATCAGAATCCATACTCATTAAACATTATAGACTTCGGCAAAACAAATTAGTTAACCACGAACCTTCCTTTCTGTATTTAAAAATTGCTACGGCGCTAGCTCGCCTATCTTTTTTTAAAAAAAAAAAATAAACTTGTTCCTATTACTGTTATGCCTGTTGCAGTTACCGCCAATTTTGAGCAAGTATAACCTCCAAAAACGAGAAGTCCTGATTCGAAAAGGTAGTTTCTAATAAACCGAGAGATTAATATATAATAATACACCCACAGCATATAATTATGAACCTACAGCATATAATAATGAAACAACAGCATATAATAAAAGAACCACAGCATATAATTATGAACCCACAGCATATAATCATGAAACCACAGCATATAATAATGAAACCACAGCATATAATAATAGATCCACAGCATATAATTATGAACCCACAGCATATAATCATGAAACCACAGCATATAATAATGAACCCACAGCATATAATAACGAAACCACAGCATATGATAATGAAACCACAGCATATAATAATTGATCCACAGCATATAATAACAGACCCACAGCATATAATTATAGAACCACAGCATATAATAATAGACCCACAGCATATAATTATAGAACCACAGCATATAATAATAGACCCACAGAATATAATTATAAACCCACAGCATATAATTATAGAACCACAGCATATAATTAAAGACCCACAGCATACAATTACAAACCCACAGCATCTAATAAAGTCAGCTAACATAAGGCAGCCATGGCGTTCCATACACATACGTTGCAATCAAATCTAAATTATTTAAATCTTTACCTCCCACAAAAAATATAATTACGGTTTTCGTGACTCATCAAAATTATGGTGAGGGAAAAGATCTTTTATGCGATAAAGTTGCATTTAATTAGAAGCTTATTAAAAGGTGTGGGTAAACATTATTTCAACGAAAGGCTTCAATTGTCAAAAAAGAAATTAAAGAAATCAACCTTGTAAGGTTGTTGTAAAATCAATCAAATTTTTGAAATGAACATTAATTTGAATATATTATTTTGGAATAGGGAACTTTTGAAATGTTAAATATCTATAATAAAGAGCTTCATAAAGTCAAATTTATATTATTGCTTTATATGTGCAGTGTAAGCAATATCTCAGAATGCCAATTGAAGTATTTATATTATTATTTACATGTACTTGTTTAAATTAACAAATAGTTGCAAAAAAGGTACAGTTTACGATATATTTGTAAATGTATAATAAAGATGAATACATGTAGAAGTACACATGTATATGTCAGCATATGTCAGCACAAAAATCTTAATTTTTAGTAAACACTAGTTAAAACAAATTATGCTGATCTTGAAAGTTCCAAAATAATTCCTCTCTGTGGAGGGGTATCAATTTTACATTCGAAGTAATATAAAAAGCACTCTGAGAGGATTGCAATTGTGCTGTTATTACATGTTTTTAAATCGAATCATTTACTACTAAATTATGACACCTTATCTAGAAATGTCAGGAAGGGATGATTTGGTTTCTTTGAATTAGAATTCGACATTTAAGTTTTAAGGTATTCAATGTTGAATGAAGGAATTTGAACAATGTTGGATAATTTTTAAACAAGTTAAAAACACCGTGCTAGAAAACGACATAAGTGAAATAAACCAAATTCACAGGACTGATAAAACGTAAGGAAACGGCTATTTTACACCTTAAAAGTTTTTGAAGAGTAATCTGCATTTGATGAACAGAGGAAAATTTTTGATTTCTCAAAATTTCTGCGGTTAATAATTCAATTTGCCTCTTAATTTCATAAAGAGGGGGTTTCTGCATATTTTCACCGACAGATTTGTTTGAAAATCAAATTACTTTCTACAATATCTTCTTAAAACATGTGCTGCACATAGATTTCAATGTTAAATTCAAGGTGTAATTAATTGGACAATAATCAAATTTTATAGATTCCTTTGGCGGAGCATTTCAATTTGATAACATCTTCAAAAAAAATTTCCATGATTAAAAATATCGGACTATTCATTTATTGGGTATGAAATATAGTCGTTATACATTGAATACATTAATTTGGAACAAATTTTAAACATTTCTGTGTAAGAGTCAATTTATATATACGTGTTTGTTTTACCAAAAGTTTAAGAGAATGTTGAATGATCACAGCATGCAAAAATGATAAGGGTAAAAATCCAAAAGTACGGGTGATAAAATGGGAACAAGCCATTATTCTATTACATACTGTCAGAAAACAAATGCAGACTATGTAAATACAAATTAATTTTTTTAAAAGAAAATATGTCTTGCAAAATTACAAATATACATTAACTATAATAGATGTAATAATCAAATAATGAGTGTATTCCAAAAAATAGTTAAAATCATTTTCAAAAAATATTCAAATCTAATTATGAAATGATACCTGGAAAGAATTCAAACTTGGTGCTTAACAGTTTCCTATCAAGACATACTTTTTAAATTTTATATACACAAATCCTACTGTATGTATATCTACAAATCATGAAAAAGGTTCAAAACTCAAAGAATCATTCTTCGATATATGAACGTAAAGCTTAGAATATTTCGTTTCATAAAAATGCATGCTGTGAGGTTATTTGAAGTACGGTCCAGGCAAGGTGTTCTCATATTCCACGGGAACATCTGAAGTTTTCTCTTTCAGTGACTCTGAAATTGATCCTATGTTCTCCTGTTTGGACGTAAGAGTATCATATAATGGGGATTGGAACTGAATATTATCCTGTGCTAGTGTCTCATAATTCTCAATGTGGGGTTGGTTTCTAGTCACAGTGCCAGCAACAATTGAAGCGATGCTAATATATAATAAAATAAGATAAAAAAAATTATATTCAAAGTAATATTTGTTAATATTCTCAATAATTTATAATAAAAGTTTTTCTATTTTGTAATAAATACAGCAAGAAAAAGTATGCATTTTAATATTTTGAAATGTGAAATGTATTAATTGTTAATCTTGAAGAAAAATGTCACACAATTTGAAAAAAGTCAAATAAAAAGTCCTTAATATTTTCCTGAATTTGAGACCGTATTAAAAATATAGTTGCGCTATAACAGGAATAAGATTTTAATGAATGACAATTGATTGTGAAATAATAATAAAAAAACAATATGTTAATACTAACATCAGAAATAAATCTGCTCAATTTTTAACTAAAACCCTTTTTTTAGCAAACACTTTGTAGATATGTGAAAACGTGTAAACATTGATTTCTTAGGTCAGCTGTATCAGAAAAACACTAATAAACATGTACTTTTTGAAAAATGACATCGGAATCAATTTTGTGTTTGGTTAAAAATTTAGCACAAACATTTCCCCTCTAGTTCCGTTATTATATTTCCATTTTCTTCAAATGCAAAGGTCTAATACGCCAGTTATTGAAAAAATAATGGATGTCATTGTTTTATTTAAAACGTGGTTTGTTGAAACAATCAATAAGCCTATTTAAAGTATCTTGTAAACTGCAATAGACTATTATAAGTGTGAGGTACAAGAATTTATTTTTAAAAAATGAGTATTTAGTCGACTGCATGTTGCAATGATTAGAGTGTCTGCTGTGGAGTCGCAAAGTAAGGACTTTATCCTCAATAACGTCGTGGGTTCGAATCCCACTGTAAAATGTGGAGATCGGTTCTTTGGAGGAGAGCATATAAACCAATATCCCGTGTCGCATTACGTGCTGGCATAAAAAAGATCCCTCACTGCTCAATTGTAAAACATTCTCAAAAAGGACATTAAAGAACATAAAAAACCCCAAACAAAAATGTTTATTTGTGTGTTTTTCTTTTTGCATTTACAAACTTTATACTAAGACATCTAGAATACAACTTTGTCTCTCTCAGAGATTTGTTATTATAGTGCTCTTCTTGCATAAGGCAGTAGAAAAAAAATTAAAATGCCACATAACCAAAATCAACTACGGCATTTTCACATCAATTGATATTTGCTATGAATACAGTATAATATGAAAACAGAAATGCTGAAGAAAGAATGGAATTTTTATCTTACCAGGGTTTTGCAGATGTACGCAGCTTTCTATAAAGTATAACACTGGCTATACTTATGACAAGAAGGACACACAGACTGATACCCAGAGGAAGAAGAATATCTAAAATAAAGTAATATTTAATATGGAATTCATGACTTACTTTAAAGGACAAATTCCAAGGAAATAGATACACTTGTAAATGATATATGTTGTAAACAATGGTTAAAAAGAAGGAATTACAATATTCATTTAATTTTAAATCTTTTAAAAAGGTCTATCAATATACATTTTTTCGGAGAGCTACAGTTTTGCAGCTAAAGGTATTACAACCGAAAAATCCTAAATTTAAGCTTCCCCCGTTTGGGAAAGAAGGCTAATGATTGTAAGCCTTTTATAAATTCATACCCTCTGAAACTAAAACAGAACGTTCTGTTTAAGTATCAAAGGGTATGAATTTTCCCCGTCCCCAAGCACCTGTGGGAAATAAACCTTTGTCTGGAACCTTTTTTATGCGTAACAGGTAATTTTTATCCCCTCCCTTCTCCCTCCCGAAATAACATTTCTTTGTTGTCCCCCTAAACGGAAATTAATTGCTTCATACAGGCCTGCTTTGCATAAAATCTTTGTCACATTGCGCTTTCATTCTAAAAATATTTTAACATGAATCATTTCACCCTGATTTAGTTTAAAGTAAAGAAAACAAAACTATTTTAAGTATATTCTGATTTCATATGCTCTTGTGTTAACTATGTCAAGACGCCAGCACAAAAGAAAATAAGTGCTGAAGGAATTAAACAAAACTGCGGGCAAAAAATTGAGGAATAATTGCTTGCGTGCATGAACACTGAGGTTTTATTGTTTGGATAAATATCTAATGGAAACAATTTTTATATAAAGATTTTCTAGAAAACGGACAACTGGAAGTAAATCTATTTCTTTACGGTTTTACTTCGGTATTCTCCGTGAAACTTCGTATCTAAAGAAACTGGTTTTTCATGCACGAGCGATTTAGCGCTCACTATAAATACTTTTACCGGGGAATGTTCGATTAATGCGACGTTCGTTACAAAGAATCGCAGGTTGTTTTGTGTCTTTGGTTCAACTTCTAATAGAGATGTTCCTAAAAAACTACGTACAGAGACAAACTCCAATTCTGGACAGGATTTTGATGTCATTGACGCTGTCAATTTATTAAACAGCAGTTTCAGCTCATAGAGGAGAGATTGCGAGGATTAGAATGAAGTTGAGTATGATATTGATAGTCATTTATTAGACTATAAATCTGATTTTGACAGTGTTTGATGCAAATTCAATCATTTCAGTTTAAGATCGTTTAAAAAAAAAAAAATCTGTTGAATTTGGAAGAATGGTATAAAACCAGACAATTATATTTTAAATGTTATCAAATTTGGTTATAGTATAAAAATTTATATCCTATTCTGAAGTTGTATCTTTGTCTAACAACAAATCAGTATTTCAGAGCGCCCCCCCCCCCCATGTTTTTGAAACGTACATTTTAGAATTGCTGAGAAAAGAGTTAGCCAATGAATGATTTGAACCGCCCCCATTATATTAATCCAAAGACCTTTTCAGCGCCATTGAATAAAACACAGTAAAAAGCTTATGTTTATTGTTGATCTTAGATAAGTGAATGTATGTTTTTTAAAGAGAAATTTCAAATTCGAGGGGTCTTCAGAGGGTCTCAATTTTGCTGAAAAAGGTTTATTAATGATCAAAATTTTATTTAACAAGTAGATATAATCATGTTAATTTTTTCTTGGAATTTCAATGACTCAGAACGTTTTTTTTCGTTTTCATAGTCCTACCCTTCGGTCTCATCAGTGCTGGTTATATTTTACTAAAGTATTAAGACCATTAGTATTGTATTGGAGAGCAAAAGCATATGGAGTTATAATGTATTTAGACGATGGGTGGGTTTGCTATCAAACAAAATTGTATAAATTTGATTTTACAGAATATTCAAAAAGACTTGTTGCATGCTGGTTTCCTTATTAATGATGCTACATGTAAGAGCGTTTGGAGCTCAGTGAAAAAGTTTCGAGTGGAATTTAGAAGTCGGTTGTATTGGTCGACATGTATTGGTATCCCTCGACATAAATTAGAAAGCTTTGAATAGCAAGATAAAAAAAAATCTGTCGAAGATCTCGCTTCAATCGTATTTAGTATTATTTCGTTTAAGTTTGCATTTGGACCTGGTTGTCTAATAACAATTAGACAATTGTCAATGCTTATAGCTAATGCATCATGCTGGGATGGAAATATTAATATTTCACTTCCTGTCAGGTGTGAGCTAGAGTTTTTGTTAAAAAATAAAAACAAGAGGCCCAGGGGCCACATCGCTCACCTGAGCAATTGGCTAGGAAAAAACAGATCAGATCAGAACTGAAAGTAAACTGGGTTGGGGGGGGGGGGGTCATGATTTGAACAAACTTGAATCTACACTACCTGAGGATGATTCCCTATAAATATAACGAAGCCTGGCTTTGAAGTACTTGATAAGAAGATTTTAAAAGGTTTCCCTATATGTTCCTATGTAAAACTTTGATCCGCCATTTTGGCCCCACCCTACCCCCAGGGGTCCTGATTTGAAGAAACTTGAATCTACACTACCTGAGGATGATCCCACATGAGTTTCATCTTTCCTGGCCCAGTGGTTCTTGAGAAGAAGATTTTTAAAGATTTTTTTCTATACATTCCTATGTAAAACTTTGATCCGCCATTTTGGCCCCACCCTACCCCCGGGGGTCATGATTTGAACAAACTTGAATCTACACTACCTGAGGATGATCCCAAATGAGTTTCATCTTTCCTGGCCCAGTGGTTATTGAGAAGAAGATTTTTAAAGATTTTTCCTATATATTCCTATGTAAAACTTTGATCCGCCATTTTGGCCCCACCCTACCTCTAGGGGTCATGATTTGAACAAACTTGAATATACACTACCTGAGGATGATCCCACATGAGTTTCATCTTTCCTGGCCCAGTGGTTCTTGAGAAGATTTTTTAAAAATGCCATTAATTTTTCTCTAATTCATAATTATCTCCCCTTGGAAAAGGGCCTGGCCCTTCATTTGAACAAACTTGAATCCCCTTCACCCAAGGATACTTTGTACCAAGTTTGGTTGAAATTGGCCCAGTGGTTCTTGAGAAGAAGATGAAAATGTGAAAAGTTTACGACGACAACAACGACAACGACGACAGACAACGGACAAATTTTGATCAGAAAAGCTCACTTGAGCCTTCGGCTCAGGTGAGCTAATAAAATGAAATAGCCTATATATTCCCGCCAGTGTTATTTCCCCATGGTATCGCATATCGAAACGCATTGTTTTTACTGGTGCTAGTGATTTTGCATTGGGTGGAGTGATGTTAGATTCGACTAAGAAAGTTTTTCAAGTTATGTGGGACGAATCAGAGAGATTTCGAAGTTCAACTTTTAGAGAACTTAAAACAGTTGAAATGTTCGTGAAAATTTTTGGTGGTGTTTTAGAAAAATAAATTTGTGAAACTACATATATATACACAGACAATCAAAAAGTTGTTAGAATTTCGCAGATCAGCACCATGAATTCGGAATTTGCTTTTACTATATACACTTTTTCTGTAGCTGGGTTCCACGAGAGCAAAACTTAGAAGCAGGTTTCGTCGATTGGGGTATAAGCAATCATATTGTTGCACTTTTCAATAAGGTTTGAGGACCTTACACTTGCGATGTCTTTGCATGTTAAAAAAAAATTTCTTTGATTTTGATCCCTGGAGCAACCGGCGTCGACGCATTTGCGTTCGACTGGTCACAAGATTTGAATTGGACTGTTCCTCCCATTTATCAATTTGATAGGGAGGTCAATAAAACATTTATTAAATTACGGGTCTTCAGTGTATATGGTGCTTTAATTGTTCCGAAATGGAATTCAGCAGCTTTTTGGTCTTTTTTGATAGACAAAAATTGAAAGTTCTTGTGGTTTGTGGAAGATATGAGCATTAAAAAAAATCATTTCAGGTTCTGATAAAAATAACGTATTTGCAGCTCACAAATTTATTAGTAATGTTATAGCACCGCTACTGGACGGCTACTGGATGCTTCGTAATTAAGTCATTGTAACACTATATTTGTATGTTCATTTGCATGCTTTGATTGTGAAATATGAACAGATAAGTACACAAAGGTTGACTGCTAACCAGTGTACAATGTGAATGGATACTGAAATTAAATGATTGGATGACTGCTATCCAATAAAGATATTAGAAAGAATGAAAAAACTATTTTTTTTTTTCATTTCGGGTTCTGATAAAAATAGCGTATTTGCAGTTTACAAATTAATCAGTAATGTTTGTAGCACTGGGATTGGATGCTTCGTAATTAAGTCATTGTAACACTATATTTTATAAGTTCATTTGCATGCTTTAATTGTGAAACATGGACAGATTAGTACACAAAGGTTGACTGCTAACCAGTGTACAATGTGCATGGATACTGAAATTAAACGATTGGATGACTGCTATCCAATAAGGATAAAGATATTAGAAAGAATGAAAAAAACTATTTTATTTTTTTTCCGGGTTCTGATAAAAATAGCGTATTTGCAGTTCACAAAGTAATCAGTAATGTTATAGCACTGGGATTGGATGCTTCGTAATTAAGTCACTGTAACACTATACGTATTTTATATGTTCATTTGCATGCTTTAATTGTAAAATATGGACAGATTAGTACACAAAGGTTGACTGCTAACCAGTGTACAATGTGCATGGATACTGAAATTTAATGATTGGATGACTGCTATCCAATAAGGAGGACTGCTCTCCTAGATTTGAATGATTGCAATGCTAACATAAGATTATAATCTAACATACTGGTTCTGAAAATCGTATATTTTGATGACTGATTTTTAATCATGGAGGACTGCTCTCCTATTTTGATGTTGATGATAAAGTTGCTTGTAAACATGTGTGACATAATATTGTGGCTATTATTGGTTACTGTGCAAATTTGGTTTGAATTTTAATGTGCTTTATTGTTATATATTTCAGTCTTTGAAGAATTATCAAGGCCAATGGATAAATATTGACAAGTTTAAAGTCGATCTTTCATTTTAGAGATATAGTGGAGTCTTTGCCGCATTTCGTGAGAAATTCAAAATCCCAGTCAATGAACAAGATGTACGACACATATTTCTCTAAATTCAGAGGCTGGTGTTCGAAGCATTTATTTACGCATCTTTCTGCATCAGTGTCTACTGTCGCTCTTTTTATGGGAGGTTTGATGCAACAGAGGGTATCAACGTCGCTTCTTGAAGCGTATTTCTACAGTATAAGTTGGACTCATGAATTTTTCTCAAATTTGAATCCATGCGAAGATAAGTTCCTGAAACTAGTGCTTGAAGATGGAAGGCGCATGTTATCAAAACCTATCAGCAAAGAAGAATCTATCAATACAGAGGTATTACGTATATTGATGGATTTTTCTTCCAAGGATCCTTCTAATGTGCTGAAATTAAGATCCTTTGTGATGTGTTTATTGGGATTTTCTGGTTTCTTTAGATTCAGTGACTTATCAAATATTCGATTATGTGATATCAAATGGAAAAGTGCTCACATCGAAATTAATATTCCCAGAAGCAAAACGGATATCTACAGGAGAGGAAATTCGGTGATAATCGCAAAAAACTAGAAACGATAATTTGTGCCCTGTGTTTTGGTTAAAAAAAAATCGACATGTTAGATATGGATAAGTCTTCCAATGATTACATGTTTACAGCTGTAAATTTTGTAAAATCTCTCAATAAATACAAAGCTTCAAATAAATCCAAACCTCTATCATATACAAGAACTAGGGAAATATTGTTGTCTTCTTTAAATGAAATTGGACTTGACAGTTCTAAATATGCTGTACACAGTTTACGTGGCTCGGCGGAGTTACAGCCGCTGTTAATAATTTAATGTGTCTGATGGATTGCTTAAAATACATGGTCGGTGGGTCACGGATAAAGCCAAGGACGATTATATAAAAGACAATCTTCATCATAAAATATTGGTTTCAATGAATCTTGGATTATAAAATTACTTTATTGCAACTACTGTCCTTTGTTTAATGCGATTTGTAACGAACGCTACAATCCTACAGTATATTCTTTTTCTTTGTTTTTCAATAAATTAGTCAAGAAAATATTTATTTGCGGAGGAGTGATACGATGGAGAAAATAAATTTATTTCTTTACGGTTTTACTTCGGTATTCTCCGTGAAACTTCGTATCTAAAGAAACTGGTTTTTCATGCACGAGCGATTTAGCGCTCACTATAAATACTTTTACCGGGGAATGTTTGATTAATGCGACGTTCATTACAAAGAATCGCAGGTTGTTTTGTGTCTTTGGCTTACCCTGCCCTCCCAGCCCTTGCATTGTTTATCTTGTAAAATTTATGAGTTTGTTTTATATGTTTTGAATAAAAATGCGATTTGTAACGAACGCAACAATCCTACAGTATATTCCTTTTCTTTGTTTTTCAATAAATTAGTCAAGAAAATATTTATTTGCGGAGGAGTGAAACGAGGGAGAAAATAAATGAACGCATTCTTGAGTAAGTATTTTCTGAGGCAGATATCATGCGCGAATCTAGAGGGGGGAGGGGGGGGGGGTTCCGGAGATACCCCAATCCCCACAGAGATTTTCTTTTTAGACACGATCGATAACTTGGCAGATAATCAATTATTTGTCTTTTATACCACACCTTCCGTTTTTTGTCAGTCAAGTTGGAGAGATTGTTCCTTCACGGTATTTGAAAATTACTAGTATTTTTTTTATTACTCCTGCATGTTAGAGGTCTACACCGAAATACATAGGTACTTTTGACTTGGCGCCGCGTAATGTACAGTCATGTATATACCGAGTGCATGCTCTAATGTAAAGGGCCAATCTCTAAAACTTGACAAAAGCGGAAGATATGAAATATCGAAGTATTGGTATGACGGACAAGGAATTCATGTATATTTTGCTTAGTTTTGTTTTCAGGAGGAGGGAAGGGGCAAAGTACATGAACCAATCGTCAGATGCTTGTGATCTTGTTGAGTACTGTAACGAGAATCCAAAAAACCTATCCCTCCAAACAGTATTGCGTCTATAAATACCTAAACTGACGAAATAAAAAAGGCAATTTAAATTTTGAAATAAAACTAAGAAATTTGTGAAACATTTTTATAATTAATCAAACCGTAGCCTAAATTGTAATATAACATGCGCTTCCTATTTCACGCTGTCTCTTATGACGTCACGCAACAAGGGAGATAAGAGAATTACAATAAATGATCCACTTGTCATACAGGTAAGTTTAAACAACGATTAGTGATGGAAATTGGTGGGAAAAAATTTAATAGACCTCAGAATGTCAATCAAATTGCTCCAGAGTCTGACAATAATGAATAATTTATGAATTTTCATAAAAATACTATTAATAATACTTGACCTGAATTGAAAGCTTGGTAAACATGTTCTGATGATTGTCAACACATAAATTGAAATTCCTAGTAAGATTTCAAACATTATATAAAAGACTTTAGATAGAGTGGACCTTCAAGATATTTAGACTCCAAATATCCGGACGTTTCATTTTTCGGAAGTTTTTTCGATGTAGGAAATTTGTTAACTTTATTTTGAATTGTTTATCTTGAATACAGCTTACCTTATAAAGAGTCAAAATGAGTCAAAATGTAATATTTTCCCCATGAAATAATTTTTTGGATAAATTTCGGTTCATTTTCAGAACGGTAATATTGATTTACCAAGTCTAGTAGACCACTATAAACTGGAAAATAATTGTAAAAAAAAAAATAGAAGAGATAGAAATTCATTTAAAGTTTTTGAATATATAATACGATGGAATAAGACTGCTCTCTAAAAATAATTTATCCCTTGGTTTTGTAAATAAAAAATAAGCATCTACTTCTTAATCAGAGATAAATTCATAAACAACAGTTTTGCCGGATTTATACATTTTTTTTAAATAGAAGAGCTATTTAAGTAACAATGGAACCATTAATCAAATCATAAACACAAATATTTTAACTTTAAGATATCAATACGAAAATTTCCCTCATTGCAACAATATGCTATGTGCCAGAAGTAACCGCTTACTACAGGGCATAAGAAGCCTTTACTCTCAAAGCGTTCTCAAGAATGCATCAACATTTTCTTGGCGAAAACTTGTATGATAAAACTAGAGAAGAACACAGAGAATAGAAAATAAACCAAAAAATTACCTCCGAGGGTCTCTTTGTTCTTTGTTTTTGCATCATGTGGAAAAGTAGATAATCGGTTACTTGTTGTTTGCTCCGAAGTGGTGGTTTCTGGACAGGGCCTCTAAAAGTAGAAATCGTGAAATAATTTGTTTTATTTAATATTGAAACTAACATAAATGATTTAGCAATACATATGCATTTGAATATTTTTAGGACATACGCAATGAAGATTGAACTTTATTGCCTTTCTCCTTGAAGATGAAGAGTTCCAATACCTGAAAGACTTGTGTGCTACTCTTTTAATGTCCATATATTGTGCAGTACAGTTCTTCTTAAACAATTTTTGATGAAAAATATCTATAATACAAGCTAAGTGATTTTTATATATTTTTCGTAATATTATTCAAGAATTTTCATCAATTTATTATCTTTCAAAAACCTCTAGAAATACACGCTTATTTTTTTTTATTTACAAATATCTAATAGTACTTAAATAAAAACTCTCAGGAGATAAGGTACGTTGCGTATGTCCTTTACATACAATTACCTTCTAACAAACAAAAAAATCATCATTATTATGATTTAATTACCGTCATATTGCATTCGAGTACTTTTGCATTACAGCTGTAACATTCGTCATTGTATATGACTAATGACATAGATTCGCCGTAGTTGACATCGTCATATGACAGACTGATATCAAAACCATTCCCATATACAATTTCGGTTGGGGATCGTTTTCTTCTCAAGCTACTTGGAAAGACTGCCTGTATAACAGTAGGTCCTATGTACGTGGCTATCGTTGTGTGCGTAGACAGCATGACCACCTCATCAATATTAGTTATCTATAGAAGAGTTAAAAATTTAATTAATAAATGTTTAGTTTTTAGCTCACCTGAGCCGAAGGCTCAAGTGAGCTTTTCTGATCACATTTTGTCCGTCGTCCGTCCGTCCGTCTGTCTGTCTGTCTGTCCGTCTGTAAACTTTTCACATTTTTGACTTCTTCTCAAGAACCACTGGGCCAATTTTGACCAAACTTAGTACAAAGCATCCTTGGGTGAAGGGGAATTTAAATTGTTAAAATGAAAGGGCCAAGACACTCACAAGGGGAGATAATCAAGAAAAGACAAAAATAGGGTGGGGTCATTACAAAATCTTCTTCTCGAGAACCACTGGGCCAGAAAAGCTGAAACTTATGTGAAAGCATCCTGGGGTAGTGTAAATTCTAAATTGTTAAAATCATGACCCCTGGGGGTTGGGCGGGGCCACAATGGGGAATCGAAGTTTTACATAAAAATATATAGGAAAAATCTTTAAAAATCTTCTTCTCAAGAACCTTTGGGCCAGAAATGCTGAAACTTATGTGGAAACATCCTGGGGTAGTGCAGATTCTAAATTGTTCAAATCATGACCCCCGGGGGTTGGTCGGGGCCACAATGGGGAATCAAAGTTTAACATAGAAATATATGGGAAAAATCTTTGAAAATCTTCATCTCAAAAACCACTGGGCCAAAAAAGCTTAAACTTATATGGAAGCATCTTTCGGTAGTGTACATTCTAAATTTTTCAAATCATGACCCCCTGGGGTTGGGCGGGGCCACAATGGGGAATCGAAGTTTTACATAGAACTTAATATAGGAAAAATCTTTTAAAATCTTCTTCTCAAGAACCACTGGGCCAGAAAAGCTGAAACTTATGTGGAAGCATCCTGGGGTAGTGTAGATTCTAAATTGTTCTCATCATGACCCCCGGGGGTAGGGTGGGGCCACAGTGGGGAATCAAAGTTTTACAATGAGGAATCAAAGCATCGTATGGTAATGTAGATTTCAAATTGTCTAAATTATGATCAGTGGGGTAGGGAGTGGTCATAACATGTATTACAAGGGGGAAATCTGGTAAAGATTGGAATGGTCAGAGCTTCTCGGGTGAGCGATGTGGCCCATGGGCCTCTTGTTCTTTTTTTTTGATATGCCAAATTCAAAGTTAGTTTAAGTTACAATTTAGGACCATAGAACATTTTGCTGCACAAAATTGTTCATTGTACAGGCTGCATGTAAAAATCAAGAATCCTAATTTAACAATACTGAATACTTCGAAAGAGGAAAAATTGATCGATCGTTTTCTTCTAAAAAATTCTTCTGCCACAAAATATAGTTACTAGCCACGTGTTTATGATACGGAATATTTAATCATGGGGTTTTAATTAAGTGTAGTTGAATTACCATTATAAAATCCAAATTTATTGTAAGAACTAAAACATTATGTAGAATTTTTTAACGTTAACTACTTAAAGACAAAAATCTGGTGAAAAGCTGAGGAGCGAACATTGTTAACCGGTAATGTTATCATTTCCTAATCAATGAATGTGAGTAAGATGCAAACATGTTCATAGAACAATAAAAATCAGTAACATACATTAAGGCCTTCAACATTTATTTTCCCTGTTTAGGGTTTGTTAAATGTTTAAATCTCTTGAAATACACATAAACACACAAGCGAATCATTAAAATACAGACTTAATAACCCCAGACTCTGTCATCGTTTATAGAGTTTATTTTTACTAGTAAACAACAATTAATGATAACCATGATGACCTTTCACTTTTCAATCTTCAACTTTCCTTAGTTAGGTAGTAAAATACACTTATCACCTTCAAATGGGGTTTATATGCCTTCCATTTGATTCGATACGCTAAAGTATGCTATACATATAAACATTGATGAAATCAAATCCGTTGAAATCGTTTTTTTTTTCATATAAAATATTGAGAAAACGATCGATAATATAGTGTCCATTTCAACAATACAAGTCGGAACAAAAAATGAAACGTCAAAAATATCAGAGGTGCTTTGAAGGAGAGAGCATCCCCTGCCGACCGGTCACATTCCGTGTGCTCCTTGTCTTGATTAGGAAAAACAAAAAAGGTCAGAAAAGTCAGTTTATAGATTATGTCCTTACAATTATTATAAATAGTCAGTCAGCATTTGACTCAATGATAGGTTGTATTTATTGAAAAGGTCATTAAGTTGAATAAAAATTTTTCGAAATGATTTCTTCATTAGAGACGGTTGGTGACAATGTTTTATCGACTTCTTCGCCAATTTTATATTATGTATATTTATAGACTACTAGAATCATCAATTCCTTATTCAGCAGAAGCAAAGTATTCAATCTTTTTTTTATCTTATATGAAATATTCTAAACATTTTGTATGGAAAACGTAGGTCTTTAGAGACTTCAAAGACTTCAAAGAAAAGTTGATTTCAAAACCCCTTGTTTTCTTTATCATAAAGGATGTAAAAAAAAAAACAGGATTTACCAGAAAACTAACACAGAGCAGTGATAAAGAATTCATAGAAATATATATAAGCCAAAGTAAACTGATATATAAAGCATACATTGACCAAAACAATAGAAATAGGATAATCAAGGATTAATGAAACAATTACCAACGTATTTATTAACAAACCTTAAAGATCCATTTACTTGCCCATTAGTCAAAATCACCATGCAAATTTAACATAAATATACAAGTCCTTTCACACATGTATATTGGTCTGTGCTTGTCTTTGAAATGTAGAAAGATAACTTAATGTATTTTTCATCTCATTTTTATTTACCTTTTATTTATCTGTCTGGGTGACTTAAGTGACCTAAAAATCTTGGAATGAGATAATGTATGATATGACTTACTGAGTCATACTTTGTTGCGGAAGGAAATATACACCGACAGTCATCGAAAAAAGCATTGATAATTTTTGTTGGGCTTTGTCATTTTTACTTTTCCATTGATGTCCATTTGTTTGATTTTTAAATCGATAAAATTGTTTAATACATAACATTACACATAATACATACCAAAAAATACTTTAATTTTACGTAGACTGTTTCCGACAAAAAATGGCCATATATGTTCGTCTTTGCACATGGTCTTTCGGATGTTTTGCACAAGCCATTTTCCGGTAAGGTGGTATTAACGGGAGGAGATGCTTTTTCATGTGAACAGTCAACATCCACAAACAAATCATCACATGTACAGACACCTACAGTGTATATGCAATAAATTTACTACATAAGTCGGTTAACCTATAAATCATTTCCCATTATGCTGTAATATATTCTAACAAATATACAATCTAAATTACCTACTTGATCTTTATTTCAATTTAATTATTAAAAAAATTAATTCATATACTATTATTTGGTTTTTGTATTTATTCGCATGCGATTCTTTAGCAATAAAATCATACCACAACAATGAAAAAAATCATTTACCTTCATTGCAAACCCCATTAGCCGAGCAGTTATTCGGACAAGCAAGTTTACCAATAATTTCTACAACTGACGGTTCTTCCTTACTACTGGTCTCGTAAAAGACTTCGTATCTCTTGACCTCCTCAAAACATGATTCTTTAAGTGATTCTATAGTATGACTGAGGAATTCTGTAGTTCCAGCATCCTACATGATGTAAACAAATGTATTTTTACTTGGACATTATTACGGTCAGTGAGATATATATCTATATCTACTCACCATATATCCAATGGTCAAAAAGCTTGTTTATATATACGTGGTTTTGTTATATCGAAATGAAAAAAAAAAGATGAATAAACTAAAACAATCAAACAAACAAAAAACCCCAATTCAGTTAAGATTGAAGATGTTTCATATTTTATAGATTTTGTTGGTGAAGATGATATTTGCATATACAGTCGATAATTCAAAAGATGATGTTCTATGGTAAGTGTAACAAAATGTGATCCATTATCTAAGCGCGATGAAGATGACGAAGAAACAAAAGTTTATGATACAACCACTTAAGTACTAAATATTTATGATCATGAAAAACGAAATATAATATCCGGAGTTGAAGCCAACTTTTTAAAATTCAATTTGAATAAAATTATTTATCAATTTTTTTTAATGAACTTTTTATAAGTTTCCCTCAAACCTAATAAAATAGGTAGAGGGAAATGACAAATAGTCTGCTTTGTTGATATCTTCGTATTTTATTACATTTGAAGTTATACATGGACGAATATATATAGGATCTCACATGATTTGTAGTTGGATATGATTTTTATCCAACGAGTTGTGTGTTTTTTATCCCCGAGCCTTGGCGAGGGGATAAAACACACAACGAGTTGGATAAAAATCATATCTAACTACAAATCATGTGAGATTCTTTTTATCCCATGTTTTTTAAACCACAAATAATGCTTAACACTGTTTTTATATAGGACTCCACTTCATCTTACTTCATCACTATAACGCAAAACCCATTGTGACGTCACAACTGTGTGATACGAAAACGATATCACATGAGCTATATCAACAGGATAAAGGGTTAAACATGGGATAAATTAACATTTCAAATATCTTTGTCCGAGACAAAATTACAAATTGAAATAATACTTCAACTTTACATAAATCTACTGTCCATCGACAGGCGCGGTTAAAAAATCACGTGGCGAGCGGGACAAATAGAGACATAAATATAAAGAATAACTGTCAGATTCTTAAGTTTCAGGACGATGATCAATGGATTGGCTTGAGTGGTAATTTAATGCGTTTGGCGTTTACACAAATTATCGCACAAGCCACTCGACTGATCATGCAGATCAAGAAACAAAAAAAAAAAAAAAAAAAAAAATAGACAGTCATTCCTTAAACTTATACGTGTTTGTAAAGTAGCTGATTTCTAAAATTAATTAAATTCGACCATAATCTTACAAAGTTTTGAAACATATTGGGCACAAATATATCGGTTCCACATGTGTGTATTAAATCAAAATATACACGTACATTATTTTTCTCTATTATAATAAGCTGTCTGATTGGTTCAAACTTGATCACATGATCAAGTATATAACAGCATATAGACTTGTGTTGCTTTTATTAGATTCTAAAAAAGCATAATTAAAGACTTGATGTATCTAAAAATTAGAAATAATCTTCTCTTAAGTACAGGTCCACGTAAGAATCAGGCAGGACGTGATACATGAGGTTCTCAGAAATGAATGATTTTTCACTCACAGATTTTCCTCGGGGTATAACCCATGTATGCGGAAGGAAAAATAATTTGGGTCATTCTTACTATGGAAACCTGGACAAAGAAATTTCCTTAGCAACAGGCCAATTTTCCTTTATAGATTGCTGAAATTTCACCCATTTTGAAGGCTTTGTACAAAAAAGTGCTCTGACAATGTAATAAAAAGAAATTATCTTTTCTAATATATTTACTACAGGTACAGCTAAAGATACATGTTTCCCGTTTTTTGCTGATTCAGCATTTTGCTTGATTTTAGCAAAAATCAAGTCGATATTATTCGTTTCACCATCTTAGTACAATTGTTTCGTCTGTTTCCTGTAAAACTACAGGAAAGGCTTTCTTAAAATTTAAAATAAAAAGTTTTGCAAATTTGAAATTTACTATCTGTTCCTAGGCAACAAAAATGGATGGTTTGATGAATTAAGAATGGTGAAAATCTAAAACATTGGTAGAAAAATCATATAAATTGTCATCATTGAGTACCAAAAACAATTTTTAAGATAATAAAATATAAAATATTCTTCCTATGACTAATTTACAATAAGTTATCTCCATGGCAACAGTAAATTTTCCTTAGCAACAAAGCATTGTAAGTTATTTTTAGTACATATTTATCGATGTTGTTAAAAGATTTTTTAAGACATTTCATTTTTAGAGTTGAACTGCTATTGCTCGGGATCAGCATTGTCAAACCAGGTCTTAAAAATATTTTAAGTTAATATATCCACATAGCAACAAATACTTTAAAACAGAATCAGTATGTAGCGATTCTTCAACATAAAGCTATGTCTTTTTGGATGTTAACTAGGCAAAAAACATTCTACAATATACTTATTGAAATGAAAAATTTCTTGACTTACAGTGTATGTCTGTAGTATTTATTTTTCATCACTCTCAAATGGTTAATCAATGACCTACTTTTCATGCTAGTGGCAGCAAGTCACTGAGACTCTTGAGCCGTAGAAATTTTGCCAATTCCTGAAAATTTTGTATTGTATCATTACCAATATAATTAATATCTGCAACAAAACTGCGCAGTCTAATTTTCTACAAGTTTAAATAATACGTACAGCAATCTGGTTATAAAAAAGATATATATGATTTTGAAGAGTATTACCCCTGTTCTTTTGACAATGCAGACCTTGTGAGGAATTGATTGACCGAGGCTGAAAGCTGAGGTTAATATGTTTCGGACAAAATCTGTATAATATGGGCACAAGTAAGCCGAATTCGAAAGTCAATCTAATCTTTTTTTCAGTTGTAATCATTGAATACCAATCAAATTTTAAAAGTATATAAAACACGCTATTTTTCTGCGTAACCTAATAATATTAATATTTTTTCATTACCATGGCAACCAAAAATTTTCCTAAACAACAAGTCAAAAAAGGTCATATATTGCACTTAAGAAATAAAAATTTTAAAAATATGTATATAACACTTTTGCAGTGAAACTGAATTTGCGCAGACTAACTGGTTATTTTACTTTTTTAAACTTTAACAAATATCTAAATATCCCGCATAAAAAAAGTTTGTGTCTGGGGGTTGGGGGAGGGGAATGTGTGTTATTTAGAAATCTCTTTACTTTGTGTCCTTCCTATAACTTTGATATTGAAAAACACTGGAAGCTCATGCTTTGTTTAGAGATTGCTTATGATCCAAAGGGGTGCAATGCCTTTGACACAAGGTCATGCCAGCATGTTCAAGGTCACTTGACCGGTCAAAAACTTTGTAACAGAGAAAATAATCTCTGGATTTTCCTACCTGATACAGTGATAGCTTTGTTGACTCACATATAAGATCTTGACCCCAGGTCAGTTTGGTTAGTTCAAGGTCATTTGCTAATTTTTTTTAAACAATTTTGTCTTGGTGATGTAATTTTGTAATGACAAATCTTTGGATGATCTTTTCTGATCATAATTTGTGCACTGTCTGACGTCGTTGTCATTGTCACTGTTTGTCGTTCTAAACTGGACCAATTTTAACAAACTTGCCAATAAATATCCTTGGGTAATGTTAATTCAAATTTGTTTGGATGAATTGTCACATCTTCTTCCAAGTAGAGATTAACTTATGATTTCGTGGAAAAAAAAAATAATTGCATCTTTTAAAAATCTTAAAACTTGCGAAAGAGGACTTTTAATAAGCAAGACTGTTGACATTCTTATTTTATCAACTTGTTTATTAGTAGCTTGCTTTCTTTTTAGATATGGTTCATTAGACCGTCTCTTGCGTATTGAACCAACTGGGAGTAATAAAGCAAGCTTTGAGTACAACATTTATTGTTTATCTCATGAAAAAACACCATCACTATTTTCATTATACATGTATTTCTTTTATTTTTTTCATTACAATCCTGATACCGAAATTATTTTTTAGATATTACAAATAAATAATAACTTAAGCTAGTTAGTATTTCTTTATCGAGATAAAGTTATCTTGTATAAATTTATTCTGGCTGTAAAATGTCATTTGATTGGATGAAAAAAATTGTTTACAAGGAATGAATTTAATAGCTGTCCAAGGTATACTGTTTAAAACCTGGATTGGAACAGATAACACCTTTTTATTAACAGCTTTGCGGTTTATAAAGCGTGAACTGTTCCAACCCAGGCTATTTAGTATAATTTTGGTAGCTATTACATTAATTCCTTACATAATGATATAATGATATGTACTGTTATTTACCCCATTAAAGAAGAATAAGGAGATAACGCACAGTATTCAAAATCAAAGTCCATAAAACAATACAAAATTGAGCAAACACGGACCTCGGAAATATCAGAGGTGGGATCAGGTGCCATGGAGGAGTGAGCATCCCCTGCCGACTGGTCACATCCACCGTGTGCTCTTTGTCATGACCAGGAAATAACGGGAAAATCCGTCATCAATTCAGAGTATAAAATAATGGACAATGAAATATAATTATATCTCAATACAAAACAAATTACTAAGTATATCATGGGTATTTACATATTTGAAGGAGAGGAAAAAAAGGAATCCGAAAAATGTAAAATAAAAACATAGGTAATCAGAGATTACAGAGCTCACCTCAACGGATGTTGTATTTAAGTTAGGCAAAGTCACACAATTAACCAACAAAGAGTGTACATCCAGAAATGCAAAATTTATGCAATTTTAATCTGAAACTTTGGAATAAACCTATATAAAAACTTAAAATTAGTTCTTCATCATGGAAACATACTTAAATTTCAGCATGTGAAGCAAGTTTGAGAGTTTTAATCCCTTGATGCATCATTTGTGCAAGTTTGGTTTATATAAGCCTTAAAGTTTCTTGGTAATAGACCTGCACCCATAACATTTACCAGGTCCATTATCTGGAAAATTTATGTCGAATTCAGCATCTGAAGCATACGAAAGCCCAGAAGGCTCATTCGAGATTCGA